TAAGTCTACTCTGCTTGAGCTCTATTAATGGAACAACAAAGGCTGGATGCTGGCACATCTGTTTATAGCATAGTTTACTGAATAATTTGAGCCCACTGTAGAGACCTACTGCTCAGAATAAAATGATTTATTTCAAAATACAACTGATGATTAACAATGCAGCTGGTCATCTGAGAGCTTTGATGGGTATGTCCAATGAGATTAATGTTGTTTTCATGCCTGCTAATACAAGATCTGTTTTGTAGCCCAGAGATCAGAGTCATTTGACTTTCAAGACTTATTACTTAAGAACTAGGAGGCTGGCAGTCACTTGAGGTCAGGAGTTTAAGACTAGCCTGGCCAACATTATGAAACTCTGTCTCTACTAAAAACACAAAAATTAGCTGGGCATGGTGGTACACACCTGTAGTTCCAGCTACTCAAGAGGCTGAGGCAGGAGAATTGCTTGAACTCAGATGGCAGAGGTTGCAGTAAGCCAATTTTGCACCACTGCACTCCAGCCTGGGTGATAGAGTGAGACTCTGTCTCAAAACAGAAAAAAAAAAAAAAACTATAATTTCCATGGATAGTAATTCATATGATGGATCTGGACAAAGTAAATTGAAAACCAATTGAAAGTAATTCACCATTCCAGATGCCATTGATAGTATTTGTGATTCATAGGAAAGGTTGAAATATCAACGTCAATAGGAGTTTGGAAGAAGTTGATTGCAACCATCATGGATGACTGAGGGTTACAAGACTTCAGAGAAGGAAACAACTATAGATGTGGTGAAAATAGCAAGAAAACTAGAATTAGAAGTGAAGCCTAAAGATGTAACTGCATTGGTGGAATCTCATGATAAAACTTCAGTGAAGGAGAAGTTGCTTTTTTAATTGAGTAAAGAAAACGTTTTGTTTTGGGTTTTGTTTTTTGTTTTGTTTTGTTTTGTTTTTAAGATGAAATCTCCGGTGAAGATGCTATGAACACTGTTGACATGATGTGTAGGGAAAAACTCTCTAAACCATGTTTTTCCTCTGCCTCATGCCACAGCAATCATCACAAAAGTGTGGGGGTTTTCCACACACACCAAGCAGCGAACACCAGTTGGATGTCCTCCAACTCAGTTCCGGTACTACCTACATGGAAATATTTACATCCTACAGGTTGGCAGCTTCGTCCCCAAGACTGCCCCCTTCTTTCAACACTAGTCACAAGTCCAAGCCTCCAGGAATACCAACCAGCTTCGAACTGGGGTTCTCATTACCCTCTCTTTGGGTTTGATTAATTTGCTTGAAGCAGCTCACAGAAGTCAGGGAAACATTTATGTTTACCGGTTTATTATAAAGGATACAAATGAAGAGATGGATGGGGCAAGGTATGGGGGAAGGTGTGTGGAGCTTACAAATGAAGAGATGGATCGGGCAAGGTATGGGGGAAGGTATGCGGAGCTTCCATGCCCTTCCTGGCATGCCACCTCCTAGGAACCTTCAAGCATTTAGCTATTCAGAAGTTCACCAAACCCAGTCCTCTTGAGTTTTTATGGAAGCTTCCTGACTTCAGCATTCCTTCCCCCAGGATATAGAGTGAGACCTTCTCTGGGGAGTCTTGAGACTAACAATCAGAAGGGAGGGGAAAGATTAGTGTCCTGCCTTGGGGCAAGTGAAAGGAGGGCTGGAGGGAGATTCTGCTTTCTGAGGCCTGATATACTTGATAACAAAAAGTCTGTAACTAGGGCTATGGGAATTACGAACCACAAAAGGTGGACAAAAACCAATATATATCATAACACCACACATGACAACAAAGAATATAGAATATTACATAAAGTTGGTTGATGAAGCAGTGGCAGGGTTTGAGAGGATTGTTCCAGTTTTAAAAGAAGTTCTACTTTGGGTATAATGCTATCAAAACAGCATCGCATGCTATAGGAAAGTCAAATGATTTTTCCAAGTGATGCAGCAAACTTGAATGTCTCATTTTAAGAAATTGCCACAGCAACCCTGACCTTCAGCAACCGCCACCTGGATCAGTCAGTAGCCATCAATATCCAGGCAAGATTCTCTACCAGCAAAAAGATTATTATAATTGTTAGCATTTTTTTTTTTTTAGCAATAGGTATTTTAAAATTAAAGGATGTACATTTTTTTAATGGTATGGCACACTTAATAGACTACAGTATAGGGTAACCATACTTTTTTATGCAGTGGGAAATAAAATTTGTGTGACTCAAGTTTATTGTGATATTCACTTTATTACAGCAGTCTGAAACCAAACTTCCAATATCTACAGAGGATGCCCATATTCTGGGCATGTTTACATTGATCTAATTTTCCTAAAATTTTCTTGTGTTATCTCATCTGTAAACATGTGACTAGCAATAATTTATAGAATGCTTTGGGACAAATAGTACATGGAAGCCTTTAACATGATAGCTGACTCATGCTAATAGCTGAATAAATATTTGTCCCCTTCCGTATCCTTTGATAGAATTTTTCAAGTTGTCTCACATGTGAGGGAAGAAATAAATAAATGTATTAGAACAAAAATAAGGTATTATGTTTCATAATTTAAATAATTTAAAGGTCATTTTAAAAAATCCAAAGAACACTAGAGAATCAAAATAATTTTAAAAATTAACTTAATACTAGTAACAGGGCACTAGTAACAGTGTATGGAAATGAAAAAGAGGTATACATTATTCCGGTTATCCAGGAGCTTAATATTAAGTTAACTAGTGAGAGTGGCAAGAGACAGCCAAATGCCTAGGCAGATAGCGGCAGGTCCCCGCTGAAATCCCACCTCCACCTGAAGACAGTTTAAAGTCTGAAAGCCACACTACAAGTTAAATCCTCAGACTAGATTGAGAACTTTTCTTCCTGTTTGGCGTGCTTTCCTCTGATTGATCCCCACCCTTCACCTATTTTACAAATACCTTCCCTTTCCAAATTGGTTTTTCTACACTGTCATGCCCACCTTTGAGTGGTGTCTTTGCTTTAATCTTTTTCACAATCAGCACACACTCCCCATTTGGAGTCCATAAAAGGCCCCAGACCCAGTCACATGGGGGACTTTCCCACCTTCAGGTAGGGGGACCACCCTTGCATCTCCTCTCTGCTGAAACCTCTTACATCACTCAATAAAATTATTCTCTGTCCTCCTCACCGTCCAATATTCACCATATCCTCATTCTTCTTGGGCATGAGATAAGAGCTCAGGAAATGATGAATGCTGGTATAAGCTGAGACACGCCAGTGTGGCCAAGAAAGGCCCAGGTGGGGCATGGCTGGCAGAGGGTCCCCAGCTTGCAAAGTGACCAAGAAGAAAAATCCTACATCACTAGCATTGCTGAAGGAGAACAAAGAAGAAGAATGGCATACACCAAAAATTAAAGCAATTACTGTATCAAACATTACAGCAGAACTTGGAGAAAGATGTTAGAAAGAGATAACAAGTGGAAATAGAAAAAGGAGTGAAACAAAGCAATATTCTAGTTACATTTTTTAAAATAATCATTAGGATGATTAGAACAAGTGTTTGTAACTCTGGGGGTCTCTGAACCCTCATTTGTTAAATGATCAGGACTAGATATCTAGATATCTGCGGTGAGAAAATAAGAAAGGAAAGACAAGAAATGTATTCTACACAGAAGTAGGGGAAAGTTCCTTAAACTGTGAGTCACAGCTATTTATATCTGAACAAATGTGCATTTCCTATTAGTGCTGGAGACTTTGTGGTCTTCTACCCATGCATTTACATAAAGAATTGTCCTCTGTGTATAAGCTGCATCTCTAGAATGTGAACTCCTTGAAACTACCTAGCAACGCTTAATTACCTAGGCCAATTTAGACAGCACTATTGAGTTGTCTTGGTAAATACTGGTAACTTCAAAAACCAAGAATGCTCTAAAATCTATAGCTAGACAACAGGCAATCTCTGACCTAAACTTTAGACAACAGTCCTTGGTAGTTTTTTTTTTTACTCTGTTAGTAAAAGTAGAGACTTAACTAGTAATATTCTAGCCAGTTCATAAATCATTAATTCCTCTATTGAAAATCTCACTGTTAGTATTTATTATGCCAATCTTCTGTTCTAAAGAGATAAAAATTAACTAAATTTTGGACTTCTATTAAAGGCTAAGGACCAGCTCTAGACTGAATGTTCTCAACCAGGGTAACTGTCCACTTCATGAAAGTAGACTAAAAGTACCAAACTCTCATATATACACAATAATATGTATCAAAGTATTTGAAGTACCTTATAGAGATCCTCACAGTAAGGGTCATGTTTTCTTCCACTTTGTGGCAGAGTTCTGAGCACACAGTGACCATGTGATAAATATTAATTCAGTATGTGAGTGTATGAGGATGTATGTTATCAGTATTCTCAGAGAATGACTGCCTTAAGTGTTCTGGGAAAAAGCCAGATTTCTGGTCTCATTTAGCATACACTGTAATTAATACTTATTTTGGGGGTGCATTTATTTTTGTTTGATTTGTGTTGCATATATAACATTGTACCCATCAAATATTGCTTAATTCTTTCATATTGCAAAAAAACAGCTATTATAAGCCTGAACTTGTTAGTCTTGCAGGGCCCTGCCCAAGGTTGCCCTCATCCCCAACTTTCCACAAACTGGAATATTCACTGATGCTTTGTTTCTTCTCCCAGACCAGTATACATGTTGTTATGTGGTTCCTAGGAGGACTGTAAAGTCCTCTAACAAAGACACAGGATGGAATGAATCAAGGGAATTGCTATGAGAAAGAAGGAATATCCCTGGAGAGGGGACTGCTCCTGTGTGCTTTTAGACGTCACAGAATAATTGTTTCTTTTTTTAAAGGAAAGAACCAGGGTGAAGAGCGCTGATTTTCAAAGTTGGAGAGGTTAACAAACACTGGTTGCAGGATTTACTTTGGTTTAGGAATACCACTGTCTCACAGGAGTGTCAATCAAAATTCCACAGCCATTCTTGGACACTAGGAGGTGGGACTGACTGATATACAGCAGTGATTTGACCCAGCACTTGGGGCAAACACAACCAGAGTCTTCGGTGTTAATTCCCTGGTCTTCCCAACTAGCATTTTGAAAGTGCATTAACATTTCTGGCCTTGCGCTCTTTCGTCGGACTTCTAACGGTAATTATGCCTGTGTAATCACAGTACAGTTACTTAATCTAAATATGTAAGATTTCACACTTTGCAATACTTAAAATTTCCTACTTTGTTCTGACTTTTGCTTTGTTCTTGTCCAGTTTAATAGATATTTGCATTTCTCTCTCTTCTATCAGGGAGTAGAATTTATGGTATTGTAGGCATTTAGGCAGCCTGTTTCTAACTTTTAGATAAGAAGTTGTATCTAAAAGAAAGTAAAGGGAGTGGGTCAAATGACTTTTACTATGAGTTCTCAGTAATTATTATGTTAACAAGTGGTAAGAGGGCATTCAAAAATATTTGAAATAATGTAAGCGCTTCAACACACATATGCTTATATGCATACAACAGTGGAGGACTATCTTAATAGGGCAAATTCGTGTGCAGCTATCTTTTACCCTTAGGAATACATATATGCTGCCAGGCATGGTAATCACAGCACTTTGAGGCCAGGAGTTTCAGACCAACCTGGAAAACCTGGCAAAATCCTGTCTCCTGTCTCTACCAAAAATACAATAATACAATACTAGGATAGACTTCCTAGTCTATCCTAGGAAGACTGTTAAGTTATAAATAGTCATTTTTTAGCCAAAGATGTATTATAATGAATATGATTATAAAAATTTAGATTATCTTATATTGTAAGACAGAGCGGTTGACTTCTCAATGTTGGAGCAAGCAGAATCCTCCCCCGCTTTTGATGTTTAACAGTGACAAGGAGAGGTCACAAGCAGTCTCTGCTGCTGGCATTCCTGGCATGGTTACAGTAGTCAACAGTGACTACTGTGACTTGTTCGAGAGGTGACTTTGAACATTTATTTTACTTTCAGGTTAGAGAATTTAGTCCTTGTATTGGATTGGCTTGGGCTAGTGAATCTTGGATACAACAGCCAATAGGATATATGAAGTAGTGTTTTAAAAAATTAACCATTAAAGACAGTTTTCAATTTGCAAACCATTTCTAACATGTTTTCCATGGTAAGAATTAGCTACACAGAATGATACTGTGAAATATAGAAAAATGGGGAGTACTGGAACTAGCTAAAATTTGACAGATTACAGGTGTAATTGTTTTGCTGGTCACACATGATTATTTCTACTGGTTACATTTTATTTGGACTTGTATTGTGATACATTGTTCTATAGAAACAAATTGTATGCCTTAACTTTGTTGTGATTATCTAAAACAGTTGGAAACTGAGTCTGATGTATTGAAAGAGAGTACAAGAGGTCATGGTTTGCCTCAGTGGGCATTGTGTGAAGATAAGGGACTGAAGACGGTGTTTATAGACAGACAAAGAAAATGCTACTGCATGCTCATTCAAAAAATCATAACCTTGCTTGTACTTCAGATCTATGTAATTCTATTTGTCATCTGGATGGCTAGTATTGTGACTCAAGTATTCAGTGTTATAGACAAGCTGCGATTAAATATTTCAACAGAAGACCTCAAGGAATTACTGATTTACAATTACCCATATTACCTATGCTACAATAATTAGAAACAAAGAAATTGAAGTGATGTACTATACAGTAATGCTACTAAACAGATATGTGTTTATATTAAAAGGCAAGGAATTTATGAAGGCTAGTATTATGTAAATGACTGTCTCTAAATAGTTGGATGATATATCGCATTTTGTTCATTGATTCAACAAATATTTGTCCGCCCAATACACACCAGGCACTGACCATTTTCTGTAACTAATTTCATCCACTTAGCACTGTGAATAATCCAATAATTCCCCAGGACAAATATTATTATTCAATAAATTAAATGAGTATCAATACAGAGGGGTATTTCATGGAGATCACTGCTCTCTTGGGTAATCAGGGGATCTGCTATTGAGTTTGGTACCACAAATTTTTATATTTTTCCTTAAGGGATGATGAAAGATCAGTGGACTCCTAACTATCTGCAGTCTGTGGAGTCTCAGGTTGCTTAGAAACTCAGTGACTATGGGCTTGCTATGGCAACCCAATTTATCAGTGACTGCAAAACTAACTTAGCTGGCATTGTGGCAAATCTCCATATTTTGCTGGTAAGAATATTCAGATAAGTTCTTCTATCATACTAGTATTTATATTATTTACCCTATTGAGCTAAATATTTATCAAATTTTGAAAATAATAAATTATGATTTATAATGGTCTAGAACTACATGAAAATGAAGCTTAAATTCTGAATGTATTTTTAGATTTCAAATTTATACTGTCTGCCGGTTACCAGGCCGTTGCCTTAGCTTAAATCTACAGTATGTGATTTGTAATTTGTACTATATTAAGAGCACGAGAAAATAAAACTAGTACAGTCTATTATCTATGTGCCAATAAAAATGCTCTGCAAATTTAACTTTAATACTTCAATTAATAGATAAATTTATGTATATATAGTATAATTTAATAATTTTGTTTTACATTACAAACTCTTTATTCATATATAAGTGTAAGAGATTTTACAGTATTATGTATTTTTAAAATCTTATGTCTTAAATAATATACCATGTAATCTGATACACAAATGTATTAGAAAACCAATTTACTTAAAAAGCACATTTTTGCAATCATGGGAAAGACATTAGGGAACATATTCTCATCCTTTGTTTGAGTATTTGTTCCCTGTAGTACATTTACAACAATTTTGCCCGTTCTGATTTTAGTCATGCTTTTAGATTTTAATAACATGTTCTATTGTTTTACTCTCTATATAAACTACAGTCTTCTCTGTACCTCTTCGTATGTAAGTATTGCATTCATCTTATCTCCCTATTGATTCCAACTTTTGTTTTTATCACAGTCAATAGCAGTAGAGCCAGGATTCCCTCCTGAGACAGACTATTACAAGGTTCTATTTTCTGTCCTTTACTCCTGGGTTTTGACATTTATGCATTTTGTTTTGATATTTAAGACTTCATCATATTAAAGGTTCTCTTGAGATTGAAAGAATCAGTCTGACTCGGGTTTTTACAGGAGAATGCTACATTTGATTATATTTTAAATTTTTCTTTATATTTTATCTATTGCCATGTAATTCTGCAAATGATGAAATTATTTTTGAATATTGTAGTACATCAGTACAACTAGGCTATGCCCCAGTGGATGATATGTCTCATCTCACAGATGGCAACAGGTACAAAGACAGAACTTAGATTATTTTATTGGAATTAATTCTCATTGGAACAGAAAACCCAATTCCCAGGGGTCCTTGTTTAAGCCTCCAGTTAGCACATCATATTGAACTCCTCCCTTAACAGAGGGGCTTTTTTTAAATTGAACTACAGACCCACTACTCTCTAACAGAATAAATGAGCAGTCCAGAACACTCAACAACCCAAAGGAACCAAACTCTTATCAAGGGATCATGTGTGTTAGCCTTTAAGGAGATAGTAGTTTGGCAGGTAAAAAAATTCGGTGGTAGAGTACAAATATTCAGAAGACTTGGAAAGGATTTTCAATAGGCAAAAGCAAAACAATACAACTATTTAATGGTACACATTTGATGTTTAATCATGCTTTTTGGTGTGACTGAATTATTTTAATGAATTTTGCAAAACTTTAATCAATATGTCTGTTTCTGCCAATGGATACAAAAACACAACTGGTACATTGCATCATTTAAAATATTTGGGAAAAGATCATTGTGTAGAAGTACGTCATTCATTCTTGTATTATAGTTTATAAATACCTGTGAAAGGGAAGAATTAAAGCCCTTCATAAGAATATTTTCTAATGTGAAATAATCTATTTACCTGTTTACTACATTGAGATTTTTGCTTGGAAAAGAGTACATCTGTTCTTTATTCCATTACATGCGTGGTGTCTATTACACATAAGAAATGCACATCTAGAAAATCATCAGTGCATTTAAACTTGATCAGATACTAGGATAAATAAAAGTACCTCTTCTCCTACAAAGGTATTTAACATATACATGCATGCCTTTTAAAAATCTATGCTGTGATACCTAGAGTTATAGTTTATTCAGAATCAATTAAAAAAACATTTGAGCACCTATTATGTATCAGGCACTATTTAAAACTCTGGGATATTATGCTAAACACTACCAGCATGATCCGTGGTAATAATGTTATAGGGAGTTTCATTGTGACCTACTCTCTTGCTACTTATGAATGAACAAATGATGAACTGAGCTATTTTGGAATCCTTTGTATAAGTGGAACACTAAAATATTCTAAAGCTGTATAAATGAGTAAAATATAGTCACATGGTATGTTATATGTGCTTCATGTTATATTAATATCTATATTTGTTACATAGAGTGTAGAAAACCATGTTGCAGAAACATCTTTTTTCTCCTCCTTTAAGAGACCTACTGGTTAAGCCATGTTTCTTGACTGCACTTATGAGCTAGAAGTTTAAGTGTTTTAGTTTATTAAAAATACCTGTAATCTAATGCCTATGTTTTAAATAGAATCACAAGGTATCAGTTTGGGTGTTTTCAACCTGCGAACCCCAAATACCTGGGACAGATCCCAGTTAATTTAGAAAGTTTATTTTGCCAAGGTTGAGGACACACGCCCATGACACAGCCTGAGGAGGTCCTGACGACATGTGCCGACAGTGGTCAGAGCACAGTTTGGTTTTATGCATTTCAGGGAGACCTGAGACATCAATCAACATATGTAAGATGAACACTGGTTCAGTCTGGAAAGGTGGGACAACACAATGCAAACACAGGAGAACTCAAAGTGGAGAGGGGGTCCCAGGTCATAGGTAGATAAGAGACAAATGGTTGCACTCTTTTGAGTTTCCGATTAGCTTCTCCAAAGAAGGCAATCAGCTATGCTTTTATCTCGGTGAGCAGAGGAGTGACTTTGAATAGAATGCAAGGCAGGTTTGCCCTAAGCAGTTCCTAGATTGACTTTTCCTTTTAGCTTAGTGATTTTGGGGTCCCAAGATTTATTTTCCTCTCACAAACCTAAATTAGCTGAATCAATAGGAGGACAGGTTTGCCCACATCATTGAAAACTCCAGTGTTAGCACTCTTCCAGCACAGGTGGATCAGATTGCTGGCTCTTCTTAACTTTCTCTGCTCTCTCCTTATGTGGATGGTAGGTTTGACACAGGCTGGCTTTCCTTGAGGTTGTAAGAGGGCCTCCAGCAGCACGGCTCTAGGCTTCCTCCTCCTTATACATAAGCAGTGGGGATTAGAATAGAGAATAGATGATGATAGCAAAATCAATTCCCACTGCTGTTCAACAAAGGAGCACATTTTCCTGAGTGATGGGGAAATGTATGTTCTTATAACACTCACTGTTTAATTAAATGAGAATATTAAATAGTACCTTGACATTTTTAGAGGCAATACCACATTAATAGCTCCACATCAACATATGGAGAAACTTTTGAATCCTTCCCCCTGAACTTAGAGTTAGAGGGCATCTCTGGAAACTAGCCAGCCAAGACTTTCTGGAACGCCTTGAGGAAGGTACTCCTCACTACACAAGATGAATTATAGATCTGGAGTTGTGAAGTCTTGAAATGTTGCTTTCTTTTCTCTGGAAAATGCTTAAGCATATTGAATTAGCCCTTAGAGGTTATAATTCAGTTAACTGAGATGGCTGAATTTTGTCAGATTTATTCATTGTGCTTCATGTGTACAAATAGAAGGAAATCCCTCAACATACACCTTAACACTCATGTATTGGATTATTCTAAAATAGACATTGCCTATTAGTTAAATTTTATTCACCTAGGATGGGATGAAGATTGTCTGGAGACTGATATATTCAATAGCAGCCTTTTTTTTTTTTTTTTTTTGATATCATGAAAAGAAGTTTTCTAGGTAATTAATTTGCATCAAAGACTTAAAAAGAAAATCACTGCTCTATTTCTTTTATTTTTACCCTAACCTAGATGACATGGCAGATAAGCAAGGGAAAAATTAGTAAATAGCACAAATTTCATCTTCATTTTTTGAATTTTAATAGTTTGAAAAGTCAAAATATTTAATACTTAAGGTGCTAAATGTGAGGTTAGGAGACTAAGTGGCAGAATAACGTTTAGTTTCGGAAATATTTTTTGATGATATTTGAAGACCCCTTATTGTGTGTCAAACTGTCATTGGGGTGGTATGGCCATCAAAACAAGGATCTGTTAAGTGGATAAAATGAGCACATTCATAAAAGGAGAAGAGCTAATGAACTTACTGTTTCTTCTAATTTAGAGATATTTGTGTTTTTCTTTGTGGAATTGTATGAAGTTGATTTGGAGACAGTTACAAATTTACATACCTAAAACCAGGGACCATTTTGAAAGAAAATTAAGATAAAAATGAGATATCAAATAGCCAAAAATCAACCAGAACAGACAAATGTAGGATAATCAAAGAAGAAAAAAATTAAGAGAAAAGTCTATACTGAAAGCTTATTATACAAACCAATCTTGGGATGTACTTTTCTATAGCATAGGAAATACTTGATGCTTTTAATGTGGGATTCCAGAAATGGTGTGGTTTCCATGTTTTTATGGATTTATTTCACCTCAAATTTTTGTTCACTGCAGGCTCCTTTCTTCCTGCCTATTGTGATTACCCAATTTTCCCAGAGGGGTTGTTGAAAATGAGAGGAAAACAGGCCTAGCAATTATCTTGGATCATGTCCAGAAAATGTTTTTAGTCCTTGGAATACATGGAGGATGCCACTCCAAGCCTCGTAAATGCAGCTTGGGAAAATAAATATGCTTAGCGTATTCACTCTGAACACGAAAGCACAGCGTGGTTAACAAAAGGAGTATTGCAGAGTATGCCAAAACATAGGAAACAGAAACATTTCAATTCAGATTTCTTATCTTTACCCATGAACTGGGGCCCTGTAGAACAGGACAGTTTGCATACCAACATACCACAGCTGAAAGACCTCGGGCTCCAAAAGCCAACAAAACATCATGTCCAAGAAGTCTCTGAGGATCTAAGTACAAAATGAGCAGTGAAAAGTAGCAGGGCTAGTGGTGTCTTTTGAGAGTGACATTCTGCAGCAATTAAGATTCCATACCTAATATTGTTTACTTAATTCACAACCCCAGAATACAAAAGAAAAGTGACATTCAGAATCTGAAATGGGATGATCACAGTATACATGTTTTGAGTCCTTCCTTGTTTGCTGGAGAACAATAAAGAGGAGAGACACTTTCATAAAGACGGGGCTCATAACTAAACCTACCTAGGAAAGTTAGAAGGATGAAAGGTTTCTTTCTGCATAACCACGAGATGAAGTATTTTATCAAATCCATTGTAATTGCTCCATAATGTGAAGCAAACTTTAAATGCTGCTACTTAAGTGTCAGGGCTAAAATGAAGTTTAAGGGGTAAGTCAGACCTCTCTATTATTCAAAATTTAAATGTGGAAATTCCAAAGGGAAGGCTTTACTCTACTGCTGATAAGTTTGCAATGTTTTTTGTTTTTTTTTTTTTTTTTAATTCAAGAAGATAACCAGCTATCACAAAGACACATACAGGACAGTTGAAGGATTTCAATGTTTTAGGATGATTCTGAATTTCTAAGATATTTGTCTCATGTATTATGATAGTCTGCCACTTTTCATTGTCTGAATTCTAATATTTTCTAGAATATACTCATGTAAACATGATATAAAACAAAGTGATTTAAATAATTCATAACATTTCCAGAAAAAACATTTCTGGAAGTTTTATATATATTTTACATATATACATAAATGATATATATTAACAATGTACAAAACACACATATATGTATTTTTTTTACAAAGTAATATATAAGGCTTTGTTAAAACCAAAAATGCATTTAGTGTAAGATGTTCCCGCTGTTAATTCTATAGATGCTTAGAAATCTTAAGAATATGTGTCAAGTTACTAGAACAGATTCATTTGAGAAGTAGCACTCCAAACTAAACTTGTTGGTCTCTTAGAACTCAGAAAACTGAAGCTTGTCCAAGAGCAAAACCTTCCCTTAAGGTTTCTGAGAACCAACCTGGAAAATGATGTTATGGTTTCACTATAGGAGTTGATAGATTGTTTTACATTCCTTTGAAACTATTAGCAGAAGCTGCTGTGCCACTCAGCTGCGCGGTTTGTGCCAAATAATTCTGTGAAGTCTCAGGGCAGAATGATCACTTCTCTATTTAAAAAAAAAAAAAAAAAAAAAAAAAAAAAAAAAACCAAGAAAGGCATCAGAGATGTATTATTTCCTGTGTTTTTTTAAAGTTATTTCTGTATGCTTCTTAGAAACTTCACCCCACAAGCTTTAAGAAAAAATGTAATCAGGCATGCTTCTGTGTCCCTGGAAAACATTTGTGTGTGTGTACACATGCATGTCTGTATATGCATTTCAGTCTTTTAGGAAGCTAATGCCCAAGCTTATTTATTTTATTTTATTTTTAAGACTCCACTTTAGGGACTACCTTTTTAGTCCAGGGCTATCATAATATTTCTCAGAACTAAAATTTGTGGTACCCTTAATTACAATGAATTTTTTTATCCTTCTGCCTGGTAAAATTCCAAATTAATTAATAGCTATTTTTTTTCCTCAACGTTTAAACAATGTGGTACTCATCAACTAAATGCTTGTTTTGCCTATGAATTATTGATTTTTTTTCCTGCTATTTCATCACACCATGTTTTGAGACCTAGTTATTCTTTTACCTAAATGTTTCTGTTTTTCCTCTAATAATTTCCTATCTACTGTACGAACACAATTTACCTAACTATGCTGACTTTGACATTTCCTTATGTTTCTTACCATCATTTAAATGTTGACTAATTTTTTTTCCTACTTAGAGAATTGTTTTTGCAAACTGTTCAAGTAAGAATTAGGTCTGCCAACATTTTCAGATGGCCTGTAAAATTTGCATATTGATTTGGCCATGCCCACATGAGAACTATCTACATTTACAGAAGTGCTCTCTTTAATGTTACAAGCATGACTTCTATTAAACATATAGGTAAGATGATTTTCTATTTTTAATGGAGTGTGTTTGTTTTTATCCTGGCTTTTGATTCATTAGTCTGTGTGGTTTAAGTCTAAACAAAATTATTCTGATATTCAGAATTTCACCTTTAATAATGTTTTTGAATTTTCTTTTAAAGGTGATATTAGAAATCTCCATTTCAGTCTTTCAACATTTCACTGGCATTACATGATGCTCTTGTCTTTTGCAATTTAATATTCAAATTACATAGATTTTTTATTACTGCATGTGAAGTCCTTCCTCAACTTACAAAGCAGTTAGAACATACTAATACTTTAATACTTCTTTAAGTAATGAGCTAGCAACTGAAAATGTTCATATATTACATATATATAAGCATGAGTGTGTACAATGTGCCTAAATGTTTGTATGTATAAATCTCCATGATTAGTATTTCCTAAAGACTAAAGTGATAAATGTTGCCTAGTTTTACATTGGTAGCTAATGTTATGAGATAGTTCATAGGTCGGTAGAATGAAATTTTATGTTTTATTTAACCTAAAATAATTCTGTTGATTGCCACCGACATATGTTCACAGTTCATTGTTTGTTGTGTCTAGATATTGTTTTGCTCTTAATGTAATAATCAGGTTAAAATTATTCAACTTGTGCAAAGATTTTGAGAAAAATATGTAAAATTAGATTTTGATCAAGGATAAATGTATCCTTTTTTTTTTTCTTTCAAGAAAAGAGTATAAGTCCTTCAGTCAGTCTGTTTGGGTTACAGCCCTTGTTCTGCCAAATAATAGCTGTGTGAACTCAGCTAGTCATCTAAAGAGCCTAGCAAGGAGGCCGAGGCAGGCAGATCACAAGGTCAGGAGATCGAGACCACCCTGGCTAACACAGTGAAAACCATCTCTACTAAAAATACAAAAAATTAGCTGGGCATGGTGGCGGGCACCTGTAGTCCCAGCTACTCGGGATGCTGAGGCAGGAGAATGGCGTGAACCCAGGAAGAGGAGCTTGCAGTGAGCAGAGATGGTGCCACTGCATTCCAGCCTGGGCGACAGTGAGACTCCGTCTCAAAAAAAAAAAAAAAAAAAAGAGTAGTGAGGGATGATTAGTCAGCAAGGTAATAAATGTGAAATACTTAGCTCCACACATGACAGGTAGTGAGCTTCTATTATGTGTTAACTGTGTTATTGTATGATCATCTTCATAATTTATGAGACTTTGTTCACCCATTCAGTCTAGAATTACAATACAAGTTATACTAAAATGCTTCTTTTCATTTGCTGAACTGTTAAAAAAAATCACTTAATTTTCTTTTAAATGGTATCTACTACTATAAGATTTTCTTGTATCTGTATATAACTTTACATTTTAAAGTTTAAATCTACTATCTGATCTTCAGCTTAAAGGTAAGTAGACTTTATAGGTTATCCCATTTAACAAGAAAGGACAACAGGAATACAATGATTTTTATGTCTTGCCTAGTTCACAAATCCTATTGCTAATAAAGGAATCACATGGGTCATGTGATTCCTCTTCCAGAACCCTTGTCATGCATCTGTCATTTGCTTCTCAAATATGTTGCAATATTTGTTACTCAACTTACTGTACTCTTCCTCTTTTATTTCACAAGTGTTACATTCCATGAATCAGCTTATCCAAAAGTACTGTTAAAAGGATTTTTTTTTAACTATACAAATGCTAAATGAAAGCTTATTTATTTATTTATTTATTTATTTATTGTATTCTCAAAGTGGATAAAGGCTTTCAAAGCATAATACAATCCTCAACAGGAAATGACTCAAAGTTTATGGAATAAAAATGTAAACATTTCTGTAAATTACACATACAAACAAAAAAGTAAAAATTGTCAAAATAAAAAAAAAATTTGTCAAATGTCTGAAGACTATTTTCCTACTAATTATTAAGAAAGGGACAAAGCAATTTATGGGAATAAAAAAGGTGAAAAGGATATTGTTACAAATGTTTAAAATAAAAATGGCAGCAGGACATCATGGCTCACGCCTGTAATCCCAGCACTTTGGGAGGCCGAGGCGGTTGGATCACGAAGTCAGGAGATCAAGACCATCCTGGCTAACACAGTGAAATCCTGTCTCTACTAAAAATACAAAAAAATTAGGTGGGTGTGGTGGCAGGCACCTGTAGTCCCAGCTACTTGGGAGGCTGAGACAGGAGAATGGAGTGAACCCGGGAGGTGGAGCTTGCAGTGAGCCAAGACCTCGCCACTGCACGTAACAGAGCGAGACTCCATCTCAAATAAATAAATAAATAAATAATAAAATAAAAATGGCTAATATACTTTACAAAATTATAAAATTACTGAGGGAAGGTTAACACACACTTAACGTGTGTTACTTCTGAGGAATATAATTGAGGATTGATCATTTTATACTTTTCTATAATTTTCAATATTTCTTTCTCTCCATACTTAATACATTTTCTAAAATAAAATTGTGCATAATAGCCAGTGATGGCCATGGCAATTATTTGTTGTTTTTGTTTTTGTTTTGTGAGACAGAGTCTCACTCTATTTGCTTCTCAAATATGTTGCAATATTTGTTATAGTGGTGTATAGTGGTGCAATCGCAGCTCACTGCAACCTCCGCTTCCCAGGTTCAAGTGATTTTCCTGTCTCAGACCCCTGAGTAGTTGGGATTACAGGCATGTGCCAACACACCTGGCTAATTTTTGTATTTTTAGTAGAGAGAAGATTTCACCATGTTAGCAGGCTAGTCTCGAACTCCTGAACTCAAGTGATCCACCCACCTTGGCCTCCCAAAGTGCTGGGATTACAGATGTGAGCCACCAAGCCCAGCAACAATTATTTGTTAAACAAAAACTGTGTCAGGCTCTGTGCTAAATCCTTCATATTATCACTTTTAATCTTTACAGCAATTCTGTGAGGGAGATATTTCTACTATGTTTAAGAGAGGTTAAAGTAGTTAGCAATAAGTCATATACTTAGGAAGTGATGAATTACAAATTCAGACTCAGATTCCATTCATTTTCCTAGCAGATGTTCTTAATCCGAATCAAACCATTGCATATCCATGGTATGAACAAGCAGCATAATAGTTTCTCATTTCCACTCATTCTCACTACTTGTAAACCGTTATTATGGTTATAATAGTCTTGTGTGTGTCTGTTTATTCAACTTATTACCAACTATGGGCTTGTTCTATACTATGGGGGTTCAGTGGTGAATTAAACAGAGAAGCATCCCCCTCCTCAAAAATACAACATTCTAGCAGGTGCAAAGACAGGACAAAAACAAAAGTCAATTGGCAGAATTTCTTTGATGGTGATAAGTGACCTGTGGAAAATAAAGCAGAGAATGGAGAGGGGAGGAGGCTTGTAGGAAGTGGGGGTGATGAAATGGGGAGGGTTGAGTGCCTAGTAATTTTCAGGCTCCTGTCAAGTATTGTACACTTCTCATCTCAGCTCTTATTATTACTCTTTTATTGTTTTCTCTATTCTTTGATTATGAAAATGAGAGCAATGAATATTTTAATTAACTTGATTGTGGCAATCATTTTACAGTGTATACACATGTCAAAATGATTCATACCTCGATAAATCTGGAAAAAGAAGAACAAGCAGTTAACTTCCAATTGCAAGTCAATATAATTAGGACCCGGTAGCCTGAGGATTTAAACTTACATCCTTCCGATTTCTAACCCTATGTGATCTCCCGCAAAAAAAAAAAAAAAAAAAAAAAAAAAAAAAAAAAAAAAAAGATTTGTGTCTAAACTGACTGAAGTAGATTGAAAATTATATCCTGTCATTCTAATAAGTTAATCTAGTGTTATAGTGGATTTACATAAAGGTATATTCTCACATAAAACACACCCCTTCATAATATAGTGGGTGCACAGTCTTTTAAAAAATGAAAACCCCAACACTCTTTACTCTAAAATAGGTACAGCATTTTATTGTGTTATTGTTTAAGGTATATATTTTTCTCAAATCCACAGTGGCAGATTTGACTCAGCTATGTGCTTTCGGGTCTTGTATGCTAAGCTACTCAGGAACTGTTGTCTATGGGATTGAACACTTAACAGCTGTCTCTGGGAATGTAAATTTGATTCTTTGGACTACTCATGGGACTCTGTGACATTTTCCTCTCCAGTGACAGCAGATTTGAATGGCATTAGGCTACTGATTAAATAATACCCAAGTAAGTTTAATGTCAACTTAGGCATCTATTTTGCATGTATTTTTTTCTGAAATATCTTTCTCTGATTGTGATCATATTTTCATTATACTTTAGTCTTTTGCTATGTTTAAAATATGCTTTTTTAAATTGGTCTTATCTGAACCCTTGTGTTGGTAAGCTCTTTCTGAATTGTCATATTAGAGTGTGAATGCGTAAGAATTAAGATTGAGAAATAAATATATCAAAGTAGCCTAAATACAAAATAGCTATCTACAAAATATTCTTAACCAAAATAATATTCATCTTTATACTACCATTTTATGTCGTGCCACCAAGAAAAAAGGTCACAGTTATTTAAGGGAATTACCTTCTTAAGTTTCATGAAATCTCTGTGAGTTACTCTTTTCTAACTGAAAGAATACATTATAAAGAGATTGCATACAGTCATTTTTACTTAATCCTAATTAAGTGGTCTGAGACTTGAAAACAAAGTAATAGACTTACAATATTTTTATGACTTCTTATTTTTTAGATAAATGTGTCAGTAAAAAATTCCTCGGGAAAAAAAAAAAACAATGCTCGAGGAGGAAAGAGTGTTTGGGGTTCTTTTTCAGTTGTGTAGCACTACTTGCAAATGAAAGGATTCATTGTGTGCCTTACATGCCCAGAAAAGACAGCATGAGCATTCTAACTATAAGGACTGGTTTAAATATGATCTAATGAACTAAATATATTTCTGCCTGTTATTCTTAGGTTGCTTTACTTCTAAGGTTGTTTGAATGCATTTATCCAGCTATCCTATCAAATATATGCCAGGTTAACCCTGCAAAGGTTTTCCTGTATGATTCTGAGAACAGGGTCTTGATAGTGAAGGTTCTTTCCCCAAAGTGCAAGGCTTTCTATTTTGATTCAATATCAACATAATACTTTTTATGAAAGTGATTTAAGTACTTTTTTATATTAAAAGATTATCCTCAATAGTAATTCTACTTAGATATATTTCGGTTGAAGAAATTTAAGTAATTTATTTTTTGTAGGAGGACTGTGCTGTGATCATGAAGTTTTTGCAAAACTAACAGAAATGATAAACAGTTAAGAGTTCCCAGCTAGAACAATAGGCTGTTTCCTTTTTGAAAGTCAGTTTGTCATCCTTGCTGATTGACAGTCTCCAATTGTTTTCAAAATTATTAGTCTCACGGTATTTCAGAATTACACTGTATAAAAAGTACATTAAATTTAAACTTAATGAAATAAGTTTTACAAGCTCAGTCAAGACAGGGAAGTGAGAATATGATTATTCTTCTCAATTTACTCTTTTCACCCCCGGTCTCAGTTCAGCCTCTGAGAATATGTTAGGGAAAGCTCAGCAAGTGAGTTCCCTTTGTTTTTCTGGCCTCTGTCTTAGTTGGATGGAAAATGGCCAAAAAAAAAGAAAAAAAAAAAAAAGTAATGCTGAATATCTCAGATATAGGTAATGGGTCTTCACCAGAACATAAAAATAGACCCTTATTAGCCATATCAGTAATGTGCTATGTGAGGATTTTTTTTTTCTTTCAGTTCCTCTGGCAACAAACCACACACTGGGATCTAACATTGTAGAGTGCTTTTTTTTTGCTTTTTTTTTTTTTTTGGGAGGGGGGTGTGGTTGCATATTTAAACTCTCACACATTTATGTAATGAGGACTGCAGTGTAGGACTTTTCTGCAGAATACCATTTGATCCTATTAAGAATTGTCCAAATGTTGGAGCATTTGATTGAAAAATCCATCTTAGCCATTTTAAAGGTAAGTTGTATAATTTTTCTTTAAATAAAAAAGATTAAGGGATTTTTCCCATCACTCAGATGATGGGAGATGACACTACTGTATAAATACTCCTAAGAAGTTATATAACAAGGACAGGAAAAAAGGTAGTAACTGTTTGCTTAGTCACTAGGCTTTATCTAAAAATCAGGTTTGCATTATTTTCAAGTTATCAATCTTCCTATATTTTATGCTTAAAAAGTATTAAAACCATACCCAATGGCATTTCACATCGTATGTATAAGTTGATATTTGAAGTGATTTACAATCCAATTTGGATTATTATAAAACTTTCATTTTATACTTAGGCTATTTATACATGATGTTTAAATGATGAAGATCATTATAATGCAGACCAATATAATGAGGTTAGATGTTATAAATGACTTACAGCTCTTATGTCAACATGTTCTCTAATATGCAATTGTTAACTACTTATCAGTTTACAGAGTCATTAACTTGTTTAATTTTCAATCTGAACTGCACAACTTTTGGTGTACCTGACTTGCTCTACATGATCAAATGCAATGTGTATTTTGGATATGTGCTTTTTAAGTGCTTTTCTGTAATGAACAAAGATATTGTCATTGCTACTGGGAATAGCAAAGTATATTACTTTTAAATAATCTGAAATTTAATTCAGTGTAGATTAGTAGAATAAAAATAAATCAAAATTAATGTTTATTTCAATTCAGGAAGCTTATTACAAATAGTACTGAATTATTAGATGATGATATCAAGTTGAAGTAAAGTATAAATCAATTTGGAGGAATTAAAGCCTCAAATTAATTATATTAACTAAAATTATAAATAACTATAAATGGCATAAATTCTCTAGAGTACATCCCAGTTTCTGAAATCAAGTAGCATATTGAAACCTGTTTTGTAAAGATTTGCATGTACTTTTTAGTCTTTTTCTGTGTAGTTTTAAGTCAGTAATGTGTGTTGAAGCTAAGAAAACATTGCTTTAAATATTAGTTCACAAGGAAACCAAAATGAAATATTTAAAAATGTTTGTTATACAAAAAGTCCAGTGGTCCTTTGGAGTTTATAAGAAAATAAGAAATAAAGTAGAAATCTTTTAATTTACCAGGCTCATTAGTGAACCATAACAATAAACCAAACAGAGAACCATCAGATAATGGGTTAGCCTGGGAAGAATATTAATTACAATGGCAGGTACTTGCACAGAGTGTACTGAATTTGGAATTCACCTCAGAAGTTATAGTTGCCAACCTATTTTTCTCTTAGGGAATTTTTCTTAACCTTGTTTACTTCAACACATTTGAATCCTGCATGTGTATGTATTTCCTGTGTGTTTCCTGAAAAGGAAAGTTTAAGATAATTCTGTAACTATCAGATAGTTAATTCTGTAACTATCCTCAGATCTAATCAGGAGATGTTTTTGTTCACTGGCCCAAGATGTGGCTAAAACTTGCAAGTAACATTGTTCTAAACTATTGGCTGTCTTTCCATTTGCATATTTTAATTTCATACATATATGATCACATTTCATTATAATCTGTTTTGCAAATAATCATTTCTACTTTTGTAAAATATACACATTTATTAGATTTTTAAAACGCTTGGCCAATATTAAATGCCGTTTTACTATTATGGCTTGAAATGATACTTCATAGTAATATTTCAAAATTACAATAACATTTTCTATAATAGAAATATTTATACATTATTTTACTTCATTTCATTTAACACTTGCAGCCTCCTTTGATGTAAATAAACTCATTTTAGAGAAAACTGTATCACAGACAAACTTCAATACTAACACCCAGAACTGAATCTACATTTCTTGGCTTCAAGGCCCAACATTTTTGGCATTACAAACCTTATAGTGTCTGTTTATAGAGGAATTTGGGGTGTGGAAAAAAGACATTAGCATTCTTGTCTAAGGTTCAAAAATTAAGAATGGTTCTACATAATACTCTTTAAGTCAGTATGAACTTAAAAGAATAATTTCAAACCTGTAGTAATCCCTGGTTCATGAGTCTTTAAAAGATGGGACTTGTTCTAGAAGGATCCCAAGTATAATATATAAAGTCGAGTTTATTTATTACATTAATTTTTTAAGACTACCATCAAAACAAGTTTCAAATTGCAATATTTGAGAAGTATATAATTTTATATTACAGATGTCTATCAAGTTTTTTTTCTGTTATACATTTTTACCTTCATATATTCTGATAGGATGGAAATGGACATGAGATAACTTCAGTAAGATAAGGTATAGGAAATTTCCTAGTCCAGTTACTTGAAAATTATTTGTGGAGCCCATGGGTTCTTTGGAGATGACTCAGAGCCCGAGTGAAGTGTACCTGGAAAAGGGAAAAGGCACAGTTTCTGCTCCTTTCTTTTACCAAATAGCTCTTCTTTGAACTATCTTTGTATATTGGTATTGTGCATAAAATTTACCTTGAAAGGAGAATTCTATCTCTAAACACAATTTTATAAAGAGTGACCTAATGACCTTATGTTGATGAAACATAATTACAGTTAAGTGATTGTTTTACACCCATTTCTACTACCTTGAATTTGAATCTACATTTTTACTCATGTCTAGGGAACTGTGTCTTTATAAATATACATAGTCATGATAAGAATCTGAATAAAGTTTAATTTTAAAAACTAACTTCTATACTTACGTAAACTGTTGAATGAATTCCCCCAAGTCCTACAAAAACTAGATTTTATGGACAGACACTGTATTTTTTAGGTAAGGAACTCTCTGTATCAAGAGAATGGAAAACAGAAGAGTGTGGTCTGGTTTTGTATCCTAAGAAAAAGTGGGAGGAAGGCTTATAGATAGAAAAAAAGAAAATTTTAGCTATCTACTGATCAGTAAGAAAACGTCATTTAGGTCTGACAATTATCTATGGTATAAGTACCCTGGAAATGTAAAACTTTTCAGATTTCATAGTTTACATCCCAGCAGATGTTACTTCAGGGCCATGCCTTTTCTGGGTGGAGTTTCCCAGGGAACACAGCTTTATAAACACAAGGGATTAATTATAGATGCTCCGGAGACTTGCTCTAATATTCTGAACTATTTACTGAAGAGGTTTCTTATATCTCAGCCTAATGCGGGCTTTGCAAAATACAGAGACTTTACAAAAGTCTCTGTTTCTACTGGGTTCCCAATATAGTGGAAGGGTATTTTGCTTAAAAGTTCATTACAGAAACACTGTTGACCTGACAACCAAAAAAGAAAAAGAAATTACAAGTTATATTTTTCCTCCCTCTTTCAAAGATGACCTAATGGAATAGGCTCCACTCATGGATTCTACAAAAGGAATAGGATTTATAATCTATAAACTGGACAGAAGGCAACTGAGCTACCTATAGAATCAAGAAAGCCATGAAATTAGTTGCCTATTAAAACATGTCTTCTTATTTTCCCGTTCTTCTTTATACAAATCTCAATTAGTTTTCTGTATCTTGGCTTTCTAAATTTAAGTACTTTAAGCAGGAAGTAAATTATTACAGATACAGTATCAATATCTTCTCTGTTTCTTATAAAGAACAAGTAACAGTAAAGAATAAAATTTAATCTACAATTAGCAAATGAAATTAATTACCTATTTTAATATATAAGGAGTTTTGTTATTAAGAAAACTGAGTAAGCATGACCCAAATTTTTTATGCTCTAGACGGCTAAATTTGGTGGAATGGTGGAGACAAACTACATTCTTTCTCTGAAGATAAATATAGGTGGAAAAGCTGTTGACTGCAATGTGCTATTTAACCTGAGCTTTTCTCTTTTGTATTTGGTACACATCTTACGTAGTATGTTTGGTCCTCCTTTGCCTCAGGTGAATAAAACTAATTATAATTTTGTCATATGCAACTTAAGGATAGAGTATGATTATAATAACAATACTTCATTACTCATGGTATCAAGGCACTGAGTGATAAATGAACCCAACTAGTGTCACGTATTTTGCCTATTCTTAGGAACAGGGTAGAAACTTAATAAGAGGGAATCAATCAGTTCAAAATTTGAACAAATAGACAAGTTCAGTTTGTCTAGCTCTTTTTTCAAAATAGTACATGGATTTGAAGTTCTGTTAGGTTAATACTTGTAATTTTGCTTATATCATCCTGTCCAATGTTAAATTAAGAACTGTGTAACCATAGAATTCAACAGAATAAATTACTAGGTACTTCTGTTTTCTAATGTATGTGACGACAGCAGTGGGATGTGTACACTATCTCACTTCAGTTTTAAGTTCACAGCAGACATAGGCAGTACCCAGGCCTGTCCATTGCTCAACATATCTAGGCTCAGAGTCCATAGAAGTTATAATAATTAGTTTTCAGGTCTAGAGAGGGAGCCATTGGAGAGCATGCACTACTCCCTGGGTTCTTCGGTGGTTACTGTTGGAACTCTTTACCCCTTGCAGAAACTCTTCTCTGTAGTGCATGGAGCTACTTGAATAAAGAAGAATGATTTGGGAAAGGCCAGATAGATTTACAACTAGGTTGTGGCATAGAATCTGGAGAAGGGCAAATATATGCATATATACCTATTCTAACTGCTATATATTTATAATTTTAAATCATTTTGTATCACATTTGTCAGAGTTGCAAATGATATTAATATTGAATGAGTAATTTTTAGTGAAGTTTATGTGGAACATAAAATAACTTTCCCAGAGAGATAACTTAATCCTTGAGTTATATGTGTTTTAAATAGATTTTCATACTATATTAACAAAACTGGAATATGACACTGGGGGTTTCCTGCTGCATTTTTTATATGGGCTCATAAAGCTGTGGGTTTCTACAAAGGTTTTCCTAGAGCTTCCTAGCAGTGAGGATAAAGAGTGTTAGGCAGGAACAGGGAGACAAAGTTAGGAAACAGAGTCTCTGGGTTCCAACCACTGTTGTGGAATCACAGTCATTTTACCTAATAGACTTCCACATAAGAATTGAAGAACCAGTTCAGCTGCTTAAATTAAAAATGGCTGATCTCATTTTACACATGAGGAAATTGAGGTGTAGAGAGATTACGTGGTTTGCCCACTTTCATTTAGCAAGACAGTGACAAATCAGTCTTTGGCTTAATCTTGTCCCCTAATCTCAATTGAACCAGCTGGGATTCCTGTATTTTAATTGTTTCCTTAAGTATAACTTGCGGAAAATAGTTGGGGATGGTCTATGAAATGGGCATTCAATAAAACATTATGTACCTAATAAGCTACCCTAAATCTTATTATCAGTTCACAACATACAGAACACCAGCATGACATTCTCTAGTTAGCAATAACTATGGTTGCTTAAAAGATGGTTTCAAGAAAAGTTTCAAGTGCTTTACAATTATACATTGCAAAGGATATTCTATTTGACAATATCCAGTCCTGATTACCAGCATTAAATTACTCTTTCCATTGCATTAGGACAGCCACGGACAAAGCCATATGAGGTAGCATGGTATATGATTTCCAAGGGCAGGGAAAGCTATTGTTACCAGTCCACCCCTGCACAATTAATAAAAAGTCAGCCCTACTTGCTCAGTGAGACATAAAATTCCACAGGAAAAACAAATCCAACAAATCACTTGTTTAGATTTATGTGTGTTCCCTTTACATTAGAGAAAAATGACACTAAAGAACTAGTCAGTCTTCTTAATCACCAAAACCTTGATGTAAATGAAGTTTATTGCATCCTATGGTTTATACTGAAAAGTACCCTATGTAAGGGAGTAGGCAAAGGGGAATCCCAAAGGTGAAGGGAACATATGTAAATAATAAAATTGGCAAGAAAAAAAAATTTTAACATTTATTCCTACATTTTTGGGGAAAATATCATTTTTGTATTCTTTTCTCAGCTCTACAAGTCATATTTCTGAAAAACCATATGATTATTAAAGTGGAAATAAATACTAATACAATCATAAGAGTGGTACCTCTGTTGCAAGAGAGTGTGGAGGGAAAACCTGAAATTATAACAAACCACAATTTTTAATACAATTACAACATTAACAATATTCTATGTGCCCTTTTTTGACTGTAGCCTTCATTCTGTTGGCACATATGTTTTCTTTGGCCATGAGCATTTCAAAGTAGAGAATAATTGTTTATAGACTATAAAGCGCATTCTGACTATAAATGACAGGCCAACTCCATTATTGACAAAATGCCATTACAACAACAACAACAAAAAAGTTCAAATAAATGAGTTTTCAAATACTAGTTAGAATTAACTCTTATTATTACAGTAGGATCCACTCATTTCACAAATTGTATTCTTTCTTCCACTCTTTATTATTTTATTTTATTTTATTTTATTTTATTTTATTTTATTTTTTGAGACGGAGTTTTGCTCTTGTTGCCCAAGCTGGAGTGTGATGGTGTGAAACTCTTCACCATAACCTCTGCCTCCTGGGTTCAAGCAATTCTCCTGCCTCAGCCTCCCAAGTAGCTGGGATTATAAGTGTGTGCCACCACGCCCGGCTAATTTTGTATTTTTAGTAGAGATGAGATTTCTCTGTTTTGGTCGGGCTGGTCTTGAACTCCCAACCTCAGGTAATCTGCCCTCCTCAGCCTCCCAAAGTGCTGGGATGACAGGCGTAAGCCACCACGACCGGCTCTTGCAATCTTTATATAATCACATACTATGGCTGGGCACGATGGCTCATGCCTGTCATCCCAGCACTTTGGGAGGCTGAGGTGGGTGGATCACGAGGTCAGGAGTTTGAGACCAGCCTGACCAACACGATGAAACCCCATCTCTACTAAAAATACAAAAATTAGCTGGGTGTCGTGGTGCACACCTGTAACCCCACCTACTCAGGAGACTGAGTCAGGAGAATCACTTGAACCTGGGAGGCAGAGGTTGCAGTGAGCCAAGATCACGCCACTGCACTCCAGCCTGGGTGACAGAGACTCCATCTCAAAAAATAATAATCACACATTTTATAAAGATACCAAACAATAGATTGACAAACATATGCTAACACAAACTACCTGATTTTAACAGAATTAGCATCAACTGCAAATGACAAAATAAACTATATTGTAGTTGAATATTTAGGGGAAAATTATTTGAGATTAGTAAGAAAGCAATGCCATAGTTGAAACAAGAAATCCTCTACATTTTATATTTTCTTCAAATTCTTTACACCTGTAGGCTATTCAAAGTCATTAATAATAAAACTGAAAATAAGATATACTTATTTAAAATAATTCCATGTTTTAAACAGTTTTTAGGACAAACAATTCAGGCCTGAACTCAGTATTCATGAACATTAGACTTTCTTTCAACAGTTATTTTAAGTATGGTGATATTAGAGAGTGCCCCAGTATAAAATTTCTGGGAATATTTTTTTGTATTTACCCATGCTTTTCTCATTTTCACAGATAGCTTTCAAATGATTAGAAGAATTGATTATTTCTGCGACTCATCAGTTCATTTCCTGTAAAATTCATGTCTTGCTGTTGATTTGTGAATAAGGTATAGTAAATAAAACATCTGTTACCATACTTGCTTATCATTTAATGGAAAACACATCAGTCAACCCACATTCGGTTTGCAGGAGAACTCAAGATAAGGTGTGGAAGGCTGTGTTGGATGTGAGGATGCAACAAAGTTGCTGAGATGAGGGTGAGAGTTCTCCTTAGATAAGGTTTCAATATGTTAATCATGTGTAGAAAGAAAGTTAAAAAGGAGGAATTTGAAGAAATTCAGATATGACATTATTAGTTCTGTCACTGGTAAGCATTAGAAGCAAGAAAAGGGAGGTGGACTGAGTAAGTCACTTTGGTGAAACAAAAAGAAAAGCATTTGTTTATTTACAACTGGCAAAATGATCTGTTTCAGTGGGTGTTTTCTTTGTACTTTGATCTTTTTGTACTGATATTAAAGCTTCTGGTTTATGATCTCTTTCTAATGATAGAACCAGACCTTGTAGAAACCACCTTAATCGTATCCAGGAGTTTGCAAGAAACAGGTGCTTAACACTAATTCACCTCCTGAACAAGAAAAATGGGCTGTGACCGCAACTGTGGACTCATCACTGGGGCTGTCATTGGTGCCGTCCTGGCTGTGTTTGGAGGTATTCTAATGCCAGTTGGAGACATGCTTATCCAGAAGACAATTAAAAAGGTACAAGTAGTCCAAAGAATATGCCTTGTCATTTTGATTCATTCTGTCTTCTCTTTTTTTGCTTATATTTACCTGCTTTATATTTCCTGGTAACTGCTAATTTGTATCTTTGACATGAAGGTATTTATGAACCACTGCAACTCTATATGATGTGACTGTATGTGAAATGTTGTAAGTATAATGTATATTTAACACGACTCCATTGCTATCTTAAACATAAATACCAAATTCTATTAAAAGCTGTCTATAGGTATGCATGTTAGAAATAATTGTTTTAAGTTATGTCCAAAGAGCATGTTGGCATGCTTTTGAATAGGAAATAAGTGAGTATATTCTGTAAAAGCACATTTATAAAAGAAGTTGTACTTTAGTTAATATTGACAAAAGTAAAACCGTGTGTGTGTGTGTGTGTGTGTGTGTGTGTGATGTGTTTAATACTGAAACAAATCCTTATTGTTAGGTAAACTTGTTGTTTGGTAATACACTGTTTAGTAATCCACTATTTTTATATATGTGTAATCTCATTATCTCATAAATATTTTCTATTTATGAAGCTTCATATTTGAATCTTAGAAAAAGGCTTTCAGAAATATGCAGAACATATATTAGTATATAACAAATTGACTATAGTGTGAAAAAACAGAATGATTGAATAGATGGGCTTTGCACAACAATCTAGAATTAATCTCCCCCCAGCCCCCACAGTTTATTTGAATTAGCTACACACTCATTCATCAGAAATGCTGATTGATAGAGGGAAGACGAGAATAGAGGGAAGCAGATCTGCTGAAGTTCTAAATGAGGGATGGCAAATTCAGATGGCTTCAGGAGTTTGGATACAGGGCTTAAACAAAATTTAAGGTGCCAAGAACAAGATAAAATGAAGAACAGGAACTGCTGTGAACTAGACTGTGTGTTTCCTGCCAGAAGACATAAATGTTCATTTTATTAAACATAATACTGGCCAAATAAAACATGAGTTCTGCCTTCAACTCTCTACCTGGTTAGGACGGCAATGACCTAGACAAAGGGTTAGTAAGCATAGTGCACAATGGAGAACAGCAGGAATCGAATTTTTATTAATTTTTTATTGCTATATTGTTACCATTTTTAATATTTTTGATCCACAGTTGGTTGAATCTGCAGACCCGGAACCCATGAATACAGAGGGCTGATTGTATTTATTGCTAACATATTGCAGAACTTCAGCCTCATGCATTTAACTGAAAAAAACATGTAAACTGATAGTATCCCCTGCCTTGGAAGTCTTAGTTTTCTTGATAGTATTTTGATATAGGCCAATGGAAACAGACAGGTAATAGTGAGGTATGGGGCTTATCTAATAGTGAGATGGAGTGGCTGTTGATCTGACATCCTTCCTACTCTATAAACCGTGTTCTCACCCAGATCTGATGCAGAGAAAGCACAAGATCAGTGTCTGTGTTAACACACAGACTATAACATCATTTGGAAAAGTTTTCCAAAATAAAAAATCACAATAATCTTCCAATGCATAGCAATTTAGACTTTTTTTTTTTTTTTTGCTGACACAAAATTATTGGTCAATAACTGAGTATCGATCATTTAATTTTTTCTTTGTCATGCAACAAAACTGGTACATGTAGATTCTTCTGGATAGCATGTTGAGGGGCTAGCATTTATTGTAATTCTTTAATATTTATCTTTATGCTCATAATAGTTAACCATGAGAAAGTAAGTTTTCTGACATCAAAATGTGCTTTTATATAATGACTAAGAGAATAAAATCATCTCAGCTATTGTAAGCTAAAACCACGGGAAGGTATATTATAATAAAAAGCACTGAGACCTATGAGACTCTAGAATTGAATTGGAAAAGTAAATGCTGTAATACTTTGAAAGAGAAATCTCTCAGAGTATTCAAGACAGTTTAGGAAAAAGGTAGTACTTGGTTCAGATTTTAAAGAAGTGTAGAATTTTGAAAGTCCCAAATAACTGCAGTAACCATGTCAAAGGACTGATTGATAGTATGAAAAATCCTGTGAAAATGCTATCAAATGCAGTGAAGATGGAAGAAAGAAGGTAGAGAATGTGCCCGGAATACTGTATTAACAGGAGAAAAGATTAGAAGTTAACATGGGGTTAGAGTTAGGAAGCAAGCTTAGAACATCAGGCAGAAAAATACTTAATTGATGATATGATACACAATAGTTGTCGGTATGTTTTTCAGCAAGTGTAAGACGTAATAAAACCTGCATTTAGAGATTAGATGGCTAACATTTAATTCTTACTAATAGTTTCCTATATTCTAGTTCACTTAATCTTCAAAAATATCTCTGAGAAGTTGCTGTTATTTCACCCATTTTACAGGCACAAGTCCTTAAATCAACTTGCCAGCTCACCTAGCCAATAGGGAAAGAAGTCATTCTCCAAACATAAGCAATCTGTAGGAAGAGCCTAGATGAAAAACCTAGCCTTGTACACTACTCTACAGCAGAAAGGTTGCAAAGTGAGGATACCAGAGATAGGAAAACAAACAAATAAAAAACTGTAGGATATGGCCACTTTCAAGGAAAATATGAGATTCCCTTTTAGAAAGATATTTGCATAATCTGCACATTACATAACAAAAGGTACACTGGTCTGGTGTGGTTGAGTATATTAAAAAAGCTGATAGATAATAGGATGAAATGGAAGCTTGGAGAGAGATTCAATTAGAGAGAGGAGTAAAAGCATCAAACTCAAGATGTCCAGTGAGTTATTGATAGAAGGTATGTATATACCTTACAAAGTAAAACAGGTTTTATAAGTGATGTGTTATGAACGTCAGTCTGTGTTTCAAAGTTCAGAGTTCAAATAGATTTGATCATTGCTATAGAGATTACAAATAAATCTAAACAGTAGATTCAGAGTTTTAATGGAGAGAGGAAAAAAGCAGAATAATTATTACAGAATTTGTACATAATTCAGAGGCAGGAAGACAAAAGTAGAAAAGGAAGAGAATGATCTTATATGAAGAAACAGAAACAAAGAGTGCAATCCTAGAAGTTAACAGGAGGCCAGAACTCAAGGAAAGAAAGGATCAAATGTTCTCAGGCAGATGAAAATTAAGAAAATAATGATTCGAGAACATGGTCACCAATAATTTTGAAAGTATACTTTGAGTAGTGTGATAAAGAAGGGGGAATTAAATCAATGGAGGGCTTTTCCTTCTTGTTTTTGAAATAAGAATTATCTGTGCAATCTTTTACAAGGAAAACGGGAGATTCAGGCTTCCCAGTGTAGATTCAAACTCAAGGAGGTGTGGTACAACAGAGATTTATAAAAACTGTCAAATGACAGCGCACATTGTAAGCCCCCTACATGTCCATAGACTAAGACTCATCATCAAAATCCTTATATTGGTCAAGGTGTATGGTACATTTAAGGCTAAGCTTCATTGTGCTCTCAGATTCCTACACAACCATGTTGACCTTGTCAATTTTAGTTGTATGAAGTAGGTGGAATTTTGTTTAAATAGACTGTTTCTTTTTTCTTCAGTTTACAGATTATTTTTAAAATGATACTGGCATATGTATATCTTTGGCATACAGTAGGAGTCAAATATTTGAATTTTGTGTAAACCTAGAGAGCCAAGTGTCTTACTGCTGCCTCAGAAATACTTAGGGTAATGCTATTTCACAAACATTTGAGTTTTGGTACTGGTGACTTCTTATTTGTGTACCATTAAAACTCATTTAATATTACTTTGTTTAACTGACTAATAGAAAATTAAGAAAGCTATTATATACAAGTGATTTTTGCAAAAAGAATTAAACTGTTTAATTGAGAATGATGAGAAAATCATTTCATATTAAGTGTAGAGTTGGAGTGCTCTAATACCTTCCAATTCTGAAAGATGGCATTATCATTTGAAATAGTCTAAAACAGTTCAGAAACCTTATTTATATTTTATTTTTGCTCTTTATTTTCAAGGGATGTCTCTGGTATCTTCATGCTTTTTATGGATTATAGCTGCAATCTTTCTTACCAGTATTTTTGACCATGATTCTTAACAGAGTAGTGTGCAGCCAGCAAGTTTATGCAGTCTTTCAAAGAAAACTGAAAGTCAATAGCAAGAGCTGCCATGAATGTACAAACTACCAAAGCACTGTGGACAAGGGTCAAAATTCTGCCACCATTTACAAAAGATAATTTATCACTTGACATTATTAATGTCAGTTGATAAAATGTTTAGTGAATATTGTATAACATAACACAGGTATGCTAAGCAGATTAATGCAGGAACAGAAAACCAAATACCACATGTTCTCATTTATAAGTAGGAGCTAAATATTGAATACACATAAAGAAGGGAACAATAGACACCTGGGGCTAATTGAGGGTGGGAGGGGGGAGGATCAAAAAACTACCTATCAGGTACTATGCTTATTACCTGCGTGAGGAAATAATCCATACACTAAACCTCCCACAACACACAATTTACCTATATAACAAACTTGCACATGTACCTCTGAACCTAAAATAAAAGTTGGAAGAAAAAAACTACAATTTAAATAAATTTTAATTTCCCTATGAAACTAACCATAGAACACCAAAAAGGAATTATGGGTTTCTTTGTTCCTATTAGAGAACTAGTATTAAATATCATCATTCAATTAATGATACCATTATTTCCTACTCCCATTCTTGAAAACAGTGATCCTTCTGTAGCTTGTAAGAAATGCCTTCAGAGAAAATAAATTTAATGAATCATTAAAATGGCTATACTTGACTGGGCACAGTGGCTCATGCCTGTAATCCTAGTTTGGGAGGCCGAGATGGGCAGATCACTTGAGCTTAGGAGTTTGACACCAGCCTGGGCAACATGGCAAAACCCCATCTCTACGAAAAATACAAAAAAAAAAAAATAGCTGGGCATGGTGGCACATGCCTGTAGTCCTAGCTTTTGTGGAGCTAAGGTGGGAAGATCCCTTGAGCCCAGGAGGTTGAGGCTGCGGTGAGTTACGATCACGTGTCTGCACTCCAGCCTGGATGACAAAGTGAGACCCTGTCTCCCCCACAAAAAATTTGTTTGAATAGTCCATATTTTAATCATGTAATTTGTTTACATTAACTTTATAATGTATGCTTCTGGTGTTTCCAGATATAAAGTAATTTGTACTTTTTCATAGTATTTAAAAGCTCAGAAAGAAATGACTGAAATATTAAAGATGGTAACATTTGTTTTATATTTAATAAGTAAGAACAAATCAAAATATTTAAATTAAAATAGCAGTATAAAAAGGAATTAAACACTACATATATTTGCATATAGCTGTAATAACAAAGTCACTTAAAGACAACGTTTCAAGAAATAGCAGACAAGCATATATATTTCTTCCACTAGTCAATTTAATATCAACATAGTTTACTTTTCATGCCAGACACAAAATCTTCCATTTTAGGTACTTACATGAATTCTTAGAGGCTAATTTCTGGGTTTCAGAAACATAGTAAAGCTTACTACTCCAATACATTTCACCAAATTTTATTCTGGGTTTTAGTTGATGATGATGGTCTGAAACTAAAGCCATTTTCAGATTCTCTGCACAACTGTCACTAAAATTCTAATTCATTCTCTTCTCAACTTACACACACTTGCATAATGCAAAAACATGAGAATTTCTTTAAACATGGGGAAATGATTCTCTTTAGGCCCAATTACAAGCAAATGGTAGCAGTTAGTGGGAAGGGTGGAAGCTATTTTTAGTATGCTTCTGGTTTTTAAGGAAGTTTTTACTTTACTAGAAAGATAAGTATTATGATTAAATAACAGAAAAATAATTGTCACAGGATATTACATAAGTTATTGGCACATGACTGGCTTAAACAGTAAATGCTACGAACCAAGCAATTAAAGCAATATGAGAAGTAAATGGTATTAGAGTTCTTCTTCTAAAGGATGGATAGAATTTGTAAAATACTAATAGCTGACATTTATTGAATGTCTGGTTTGTACTAACACTGTTCTAAGTATTCACATTTATTGATCCCCATAACAATCTATGAGGATACATAAGCCACATGAAAATGACAAAATTCAACCTTTTTTGATTTTCAAAAATACTAATTTTGTATGGTTCAATCTAACATTGCTGTTATAATTTCACAGATAAGGAAAGTGAGGTACAAAGAAATTAAATAACCTGCTCAAACTTAAATGATTGTTATTATTAAGTGATCAAATTCATAGCATCTAATTTCATTGTTGGCCACTTCAGTCTATGCTTTAGGGAAGAAGCCACTATACTTTGTTAGGGTGGGGATAGGGTAAAAATTCTAACTCATAGATTAAAATCTGCTAAACACACATCTGTCTCTTGATAGTACCTCGTAAAGTCCTTAAAAAGTGAAACAAAATGTTTTCTACATTTGTACTCTACTCCATGCATACCAAGACATGAAGGGCATTTTAATAATGAAAGTTGTCAGTCATGTAGATGATTATTGTAGTTGCATGAAAACAGTATTCAAGTGAGTGTATGACTACATATAGGATATCATGGTCCCAGCAAACATCTGTTTTCAAATTAATGTAGCAGAATAGAAGTTTCAAAGTCAATGCTTTCAACTCAGCTATAGACCATGCTATGTGAGAGTCACCAGGCTGAAATCCTGTTGTTATTGGGGCTGGGTAGTCTGCATACCTAGAGTCAGGGACAAATATACACGTACACATTAGCCAAGTGATAAAATCTTATACTGCTTTTTCTGTGTGCATACTTATCAGCTTTGTACTTCAAATTTAGTAAAATATTTGCAAAATCAGCTAGATAGTCCAAATCCAATTTAAAATCAAGTTCTTTTAAATTCACAGAGGACATAACATCTTTTGTTTCTTGTGACATATTTAGTCTTGGTATTCAAGGAGTGACTACAATTTAATACATATAGTGGTGGTAGTATCAGAAGCATTGTATTCCTACTTTGACTACTTCAATATTTTTCTCTGTGTCTCTAAACAAATCATGATGCTATGGAAACTATACAAAATTGAAGTGAAAGGACCTGATTTTTCTATTATCTGCTAGTAAATTTGTCACATAACATTGAGTCAGACATCTCTTTTCTCTAGAACCCATTTTCCACCTCTAAAAAAATGGATGGGGTTAGATGGTCCCGATTCTAACAGTTGATAATCCAATACACTCATTTCAACCCTGTGTTTCACCTTTGCCTTATTTGTTGCAAGAGATATTTTTTAAGGGAAAAGTGATTTGTGGCCTTTAGAAAAATGGTCTCATACACATACAATGTCTTTTGGTGTTTAGATGGACACTCATTGTAGAGTTAGGAAGGCATTCAGTCCTGTCAAGTACATTCTGTCACAGACTCTCTTCAATTCTATAAGAATTGACTGAGTTTCTTTCATTAAGAGATATTAGGTCGGTGCAAAAGTAATTGTGAATTTTGTCATTAAAGTCCCAAAAACCGTAATTGTGTACAAACCTAATATGTACCTTGAGAGGCACTTGATGAATAACAGGTATTGGTTTTGAGCATTAAGATTCTAAAAGTGTGAGGATAATAATGTGTGTGTTTGTGTGTTCTCCCTTCTTAAGTCTCTTGAAATGGAGAAATCAACCATTTTCAGCTTCTATTTAGCTTTGAGCTTCAACATCCTCATCAAACATATTTACATTTAGAAGAATATCCATAATACTTTAAGCAATTTTGTCTTACTGTTAGACTTAGTGTGGAAATAAGTCTTTTTGGGAGCAAATAAAAAGTTTTTCAAGGACAATTTGTTGTAAAAAGTAATAAAGATTCCATCACTCTAGCAGGTCCAGTGTACCCCGTATAAGTGGATTACAGCAGCATTGGATTTTGTAATTCCATTTTAACTTGGTGCCCAGTTCTTCTCTAAGGAATTCCCTTATTCCCTGCATTAAGCAATAAGTAAAATATCCTGAAGATATGAAGCTTAATTTGAGTTCTACCAACTAAGTGCAGAGGGTGACAGAAACAAAACAAAAAAAAAGACAGTCATAGCATGGTATAAAGGAGGACTAGTCTAAGGGTCAGGGATAAGGATTTTTGTCATGAATTCACTACTGTTTGCCTAGGCTGTCCTTGGGCCAGTCGTCTGGTTTCTCAGAGCTTCAGTGTGCTCTACTGGAAAATGTGATCATGTTCAATGTCCTTTCCTAATCTGTCATTCTGTGAAGTGGTGCTTCCAGGTGAAGGAAACAAATAGGTCAGAATGTTCCTGTGGTCATGGTTCTCTTTAGGCTCATTTTCCATGAAATAGTTGCATTCCTCTTCCTCTAGCACACTCAGGTTAAGCTGGAGTTCTTTAACCTGGGCATTCTTCCCAATACTTCATTGGAAATACCGCCTGCTTCAAAATCACCTTTGTTTGCACTATCTACTACAGTGTAATAGACTTCTGGCTCAGAGAGTGAAAGCTGTGGAAGAAAACTAGAAGAATATTTATGTTAACTCCCTTATTTTACGGATAATGAAAGTGACCCTAGGGAGGGTTGATGACTCTCCACCCAGTCCCAAAGCTCCTAAAGCAAGGAATCGAGTTCCTAATATAGGATTTTTAATTCTCTTATTGGTGTATTTTCCACTTGTCTATTTTTAGCAAAAGGAGTATCAGTGATTTTTAGTGGATTTCACAAAGGAGTAATAGGACAGCTTTCTTGTCCTGTTTTTTTCTTTAAAAACTACAACCCAATGATGGTGAGTGAGGCTGTTGTAATTTTTAGAAACATATGCTAATGGGTTGTTGCAAATATAGTGAAAGTTAGGGGCTGTATGCAGTGGTTCACACCTGCTGTAATTCTCAGCCTTTTGGGAGGCCAGGTCAGGTGGATTGCTTCAGCTCAGGAGTTCAAGATCAGCCTGACCAATATGGTGAAACCCTGTTTCTACTAAAACTACAAAAACTAGCTGGGCATGGTGACTAGGTGAGAGGATCACTTGAGCCTGGGAGGCCGAGGTTGCAATGAGCCAAGATTATACCACTGTACTCCAGCCGGGGTGACAGAGCAATATCTTGTCTCAAAAAAAAAAAAAAAAAAAAGGGTTGGGGAAGCCAGATTGAGCAGCATTTTGAAGACGTGATGTCAAATTTGTGTTCTTCATGTAGATATTTTTATTTTCTTAATGTAGTAAGTGTTAAGTGCCATCCCCTGGAGTGTCTAACTCTTGAAGGAAAAGAAAAAGCTTCCTATACCACTAGATTTTTCACTCAGTTTTTGTGTTTGGTTTCATCAATCCAGCTTAGGGGCAGAGAAGAAGTTCATGTTCAACTCAGTAGAACTTTTTTGAACTTCGGTAAAATTTGCTTAATAAATCATGTTGACTGTTGCAATATTTTCAAACGGTCACTCTAAAGCTGCCAAAGGGTCACTTTAAAATTTGCCTTAAAATCAATAGTCATGTCTTCACTATTACACACTGATTCTCTTTGTAAAAGGCTAAAAAGACTGCTGTGATAATAATTTGTTGAACACATTTCTGTTGCAAGTGTATGGCAAGGTTGCAAAAGTTCTCATGAATGAGGCACTTGAGCTTGGTCCTTTTATTCTGGCTGACTCAAGACTACAAACAATCGCCCAGAAGTGCCTGTACTTACTACAAAGACATAACCCAAACTTATTTTCTTTTTCATAGGAAGTTGTCCTTGAAGAAGGTACAATTGCTTTTAAAAATTGGGTTAAAACAGGCACAGAAATTTACAGACAGTTTTGGATCTTTGATGTGCAAAATCCACAGGAAGTGATGATGAACAGCAGCAACATTCAAGTTAAGCAAAGAGGTCCTTATACATACAGGTGAGTGAGTCCCCACAAATACGAGGTACTCTTACCTTGAACATATATTTCTGAGAAGTCTTCTACTTGAAAAATGTCATTGTATTGAAATGTACTTATTATTTTCTTGCCAAAAATATTCTTTAGAATAGTTTTCCTATCTGTGTAGCATCCTAATCTAAGAATTTAATGATTTTAAGGTATTTATTTTCAAAAAACTGGAAGATATATACATTATCCAAATATTTATTAGACAGCATATAGAAAAGTTAAACATTTTATTATAAACTTACCAGTATCAAATAACTTCCCTATGTTTATGAAGTTAGTGTTTTGTTATTGTGGCATATATTCTCAACAACTCTGAAATATTCCTGCTGAGAAAAAAAAATCAGTTTTCACATCTTGAAATTTAAAGCATATTTTAACAGTGGTTCTCAGAGTATAGCTGGGCCACAGCAATGTGCTGGGCCAGCTGCATCAGCTGCATCAGCATCAACAGGGAATTGGGAAACAGGCAAATCCCTACACCTCATCCCAAAACAAATGAATGAAAGAGTTGAGGCCCACTAAAGAGTTTTACAAACCCTGGGTGATTTGAATACACAATTTTTGAGAACCACAGTGCTCAATTCATTTTTCCTAGCTGCGGTACCTACTCAGGATTTATATTCAAATTAACTTCCAGGTCATATAGATGTTTACATTGATCTATTTTAGTTTCACTCTTATATTTTCTCTAGTGTTGAGACTGAATATTTTTATCTTTCCTCTGCCTTCCCTAATAGTTTAATACACTTTTGAACAGAATCTTAGAGTATTAGAACTAGAGGAAATGATCAGCCAGAATCTGTCATTTTGTGAATTAAAAATGCCTGATCTAGTGGATGTGAGGTCACTTGTCTGTGTTCACACAGATGTAGGTACTAGTAACTCCCAGATTTTTATATACATTTTCTCCTATTTCAATTATAGCCTCTATCTTTTTCACAAAAAAGGGAAAAAAAAGGGGGAGATTAAGGTGCTAAAAACATCACCTTAACCAAGGATTAGGAATATATTTATGGTATCCATATGGAAACATAGTTATGTTCTGCTATAGAATTCATTACCTAAATGTGTATTTTCCCTCACGGATAATCACAACTAGTTATACATCATGATTAGTTCTTATCATAAAATTTTGTATTTCCAGTGATTTCTTATAATTTATAGTTTTAGTATCTTTATCTGTTTTGGTTATCAGATGATTGTATAATTTTCCTTCCTCTCTAAAGCATTACTATGCTTCCACATTGAAAACTCACACTCAAAATAAAATGAAATAACAGGCATGTTGTGAGGGTGGTGCCTACTACCATAGCACATGACATGGAAGCCACAGAGGGCCTCGGTGCATGTCCTGTCTTAGCAGTTTTACCCGAATCTCCTCCTTTTTTTTTTTTTTTTTTTTTTTTTGTAGACAGGGTGTCGCCATGTTGCCCATGCTGGCCTCAAACTCCTGGGCTCCAGCAATCCACATGCCTTGGCCTTGCAAAGTGTTGGGATTACAGGTGTGACCCACCATGCCCGACCATATTTTTCACTTTTAAATATATTATTTGGGATATGAGAAAACATGTTATTGAAATAGTTCTCCTCTGGTAGTTGGTAACTAATCTATATTTTTTTCTTAGAGCTTTTAACCTGTCTCTCTAAGGGACAAAAAGGGAATGTGTTAGGTATATTTGATTTGCTTAGAGAGGCAATGGAGCAAAGACTGGAGAAGAACAGTTGCATTTACAGCTAAATTTTAGAATCCATAAATAGCTCTTTCTATGACAATTTTAAAGGGATTCTTGATTAATTATAGGTCATCTTGTCTCTTGATGTCACCAAAATAGTCTTTTATTGTTCGCCTGAGTGCCTTAAATAATGGAAAAACAACCAGTACCTTTTAGAAAAAAGTTAACACTTTGATAGTGTTTGTGTTGAGCTAAACATGCTTTTTCATAATTAATTATACCCTAAATCCATCTGACATTGGAAGTATGTGAGAATGTCCTTCCTCAAACAGAACCACAGGCTTTATTTGGCCAATGGCTGCTAAAGTAAGATATGACCTGAATCAAACCACAAAATTGCTCGGGTTTAGATCTTATGTGTGTTTCTACCTACACCAACTCTACGAAGATGCTGTAATTCCTTCAGACTATCCTTAGATCCATAATTCATTTTTTAAGTTACTTTGCTTTGAAAAGAACATAAAGTAATCTTGAGAAAAGTCTAAATTCCTTCCCTTGACCTTATACACAAACACATTCCAAAACTTCCATATAATCTAAGTTTTAAACAAAAAATTCAGTAATTATGTTCCCTTTTTAAAACAACATTCTAAAGACAGGGCTGTTTAAGGATTTTTCTTTTAGTGACTGCCATCTACTGGTATAATGTTGTCAGTACCCGTGACAATCACGTTGCTATTGTTTTAATATATGTGCATATTTCTGAAAATTAAAGTACTTTGATTTGAAATATTAGTAATATGCACACTAATTTAAAATACAATTGTCCTGAGTGCTGTTTCAGATTTTTATATTCTTTGTCTGCAGTACTTCAAGAATAATAAAGTTTTAATAAAATTATATTGAAAATATATTTCTAGCCAACTTTGAATCCTCTTTTTAAAGAATCTGAGACATTTATTTAGTAAATATATTTACTGAGAACTCATTATATACCAGGTATGATGCTTAGAGCTACAAAACACTCATAAACTCCTTTGCTTTGAAAAGAACATAAAGTAATCTTGAGAAAAGTCTAAATTCCTTCCCTTGACCTTATACACAAACACATTCCAAAACTTCCATACAATCTAAGTTTTAAACAAAAAATTCAGTAATTATGTTCCCTTTTTAAAACAACATTCTAAAGACAGGGCTGTTTAAGGAATTTACATTTTTATCATAATGAAATAAAAAGGGTTTTTAAAAAATTCAGTCCAACTGTTTAAGTCTTTACCTTGGCTATTTACTCACTTCACAGACATTCAAATATGACAGTGCAATTATGATGTATATCTTATTTCTTCTCAGTGAGTATCTTCCACTTGTGAAATGTATTTTTCCTGTAATAATCACCCTTCACTACATTCCTAAAATGTAGTTGGTACTTTGCAGCCTAGATATGTTAGAGTCAGGAGATTAGAACTAACAGAAGTATTCAATATACTTGAGGGGTTGGGGAGGTTGTTCTATAACCCTTAAAAATGGAAATGATATTCTCTTATCTCTAATTCTCATTAAAGTACTGAAAAAGGGAAAAAGCAGTGCTGGATAGGTTACATATTTTGATCATTCTTTCTAATATAAGAAAATGTGCTCTAAATATTCCCCAGCTGAAGTCCTTGTACTTTCTCCTCCTTACCCTCAGGATAAAGTCTGTCATTTGAGTATTATATGCAACTGTTTTATGTTTGAGATCTTTCTTATTTCAGCTGCTTTATTTCCACTACTCTCCTCACCTCTTACTCTGTAATCCAACCACACTCAAATATCTGCATTTCCCAAAATATATTATGTTCGTTCTTATGCATGCTACCATCTGCCCTACTTTACCTAACTAAACTTCTATTTGTTACATAGACCACTTACGTAGACTTGTACTAAAAAGTGTCTTAACCCTCACCCCTACCCTGACCATTCTAAATCTGGATCTGTATCTGTTTTGTGTTTTCCCATGGAGTCTCCATTATAGCAATATTCCTTCTCCCTCACTATTTTAATTTCCAGTTTACCAGTTTAAGACCCCTTCTGATTAGTTTGCTAGAGACCCTGGCTGATTTCTCATTTTAACACCATTGCTTCCATAATATCTGGCATATTCTATATGTTCAAAAATCATTTGTTGAATGAATGAATGACATTTGAGATTTAAGGTTCACAGATGGCAAATGTTTTGAATTTTGCTTACTTCTGTTTCTTTAGAGTTCGTTTTCTAGCCAAGGAAAATATAACCCAGGACCCTAAGGACAACACAGTCTCTTTCCTACAGCCTAATGGTGCCATCTTTGAACCTTCACTATCAGTTGGAACAGAAGCTGACAACTTCACAGTTCTCAATCTGGCTGTGGCAGTGAGTAGACAAACAACAAAGTTACCTATTTTAAAACACTCTAGAACTCACTGTAATTAATCCTATCATTCGAATTATTAGGTTTTACTTATTTTTCCATTTTTGTAATAAATGTATTCCCATATCATTATTTTGAAAGGAGGCATGGTCATTTGGAAAGTGAAAAAATCATAAGAATCAACTGCATTAGAAGACCACTTTATTTTTTTCATTATTTTTTGTTGAAACATTCTCTATACTTAATTTCTTTTTTTTTTTTTTTTTTTTTTTTTTTGAGACGGAGTCTCGCTCTGTCGCCCAGGCTGGAGTGCAGTGGCCGGATCTCAGCTCACTGCAAGCTCCGCCTCCCGGGTTTACACCATTCTCCTGCCTCAGCCTCCCGAGTCGCTGGGACTACAGGCACCCGCCACCTCGCCCGGCTAGTTTTTTGTATTTTTGTAGAGACAGGGTTTCACCGTGTTAGCCAGGGTGGTCTCCATCTCCTGACCTCGTGATCCGCCCGTCTCAGCCTCCCAAAGTGCTGGGATTACAGGCTTGAGCCACCGCGCCCCGCCTAATTTCAATTTTATAATAGATTACAGGAAGATGCTTAGGAAACAAGTACAACATTTGTTTCAGTATGTCTTTAAATGATAGACTTTTAAGTATGTGAGCAATTGTATAATAAAAGGTTTCCAAACGCTGCCTGTGAGAAATCAGGCAAATTTTACCATAAGCAATAAACCATTTCAAGCTTTCCAGACAGTCTCCATAGCTGTACCAGCCTGGCAATAACCTTTAACCAAACAAAGCCAAAACAAACAAACAAAAGCACTTTGCAATTTGTTGCTGCAAAATGGGGAGAGAAAAGAGTATATAAACTTGATTGGAATCACAACTGTCAATATAGTTTAAGGGAAAATAAAGTCGATAAGGTTGACGGTGTCTATTGTTTGGAAAGTCGAATTCTGCTGTTTGCTTGGAGCTCTAGACACCACACCACTGAACAAACATAGAACTCCGCCGAGTCTCGCTATCCGCCAACAGAGGGTGCCGTCCAAACTCACGGCAAATAAACGGCATTTGGTGCTCACCATCCGCAACACGAGGGCGTTTACGTGGATGAAGTACAATTTTTCAGCAAGCTCAGCAAAAACCCTTAAGGGGCAAAAATGAACTCTGCATTTTAAGAAAAATAGAAAATGAAAACACAAAATCCTAAAAAGTATATGAAGGCTCTGCATCAGCACACTGGCATCAAACCGCACATCCACAGCACATCCTAATTCTATGGAAAACAATCCTTGCTTACCGGAGGTGCATGTCAAAGTTCAATAGCTTACCAATATCTTCTTGAGAGTAGGCCAAAAGGAAACAGAAAACCCACATTAAAAAAAGAAGCTTCTTTGCCTAAACATTTTCCTGAAGCTGAAATTGAAATGGAGAGGACGTCAGTTGTCCTCGTCATAGTCTTCTTCGTCCTCCCCAACCTGGGACACTGGGGTCTTTACCCTGGAGATGCTGTACGGAGACCTGTTGGAGCTTGTAGTCAGCATTTCACCCGCACCATTGGTCAGGTCACTGGCAGAGAGCCTCGTGCCATTAGACGTGGAACCTGCCATTGTGATGAACATGCCTGCAACAATTGCCTGCACCATTTCTGTCACATATGGCTCCAGAGCCTTTCGGACCAGACCTCTGGCTTTTTGTTTGTTTGTTTGTTTGTTTGTTTAAGTTCTGGGATACATGTGCTGAACATGCAGGTTTGTTACATAGGTATACATGTGCCATGGTGGTTTGCTGCACCTATCAACCCGTCATCTAGGTTTTAAGCTTCGTATACATTAATGCATTAGGTATTTGAGAAGACCAGTTTAAGTGTATCATTAAATAAATAGATCTTAACTTGGAATATCTTCTTCTTGTGGCTGGCACTGAGGCAAAGAAATGTAATCATCTAGGAATCAGAAAAATTATACTTTGAGTTTTGGTAGGATTTGGCAGGAATTTTAAAGATAAGCTTCAAAAAGTCTTGTATTAAGCTCAGTATTAGTATTTAATCCATTTATTTGTTAAAATCTAATATTGTATTCCTGTCTTAAACAGTGACTTTTTTTTCTTGTAGGCTGCATCCCATATCTATCCAAATCCATTTGTTCAAGTGGTACTCAATTCGCTTATTAACAAGTCAAAATCTTCTATGTTCCAAGTCAGAACTTTGAGAGAACTGTTATGGGGCTATACGGATCCATTTTTGAGTTTGGTTCCATACCCTGTTTCTACTAGAGTTGGTATGTTTTATCCTGTAAGTACCAAATATGAATGGCAATATTATTACATTTTAACTGAATTAATTCAATGGCATTGGCAAGGCATAATTTTATAATTTAGCTCATTAGTCTTATTGCTGATCTGGAGATATATATCCGAACTTTTTAAAAAGTCCCCTTCCCATTGTAGCTTCAGCTTTCCTAGTCGGGAAATTCATCTGAATTTAACAATTAAATTTAAACCTGAAGATCAGATTTAATCAGGTTTCTACTCATTTATAAATATACAATTTGTTTTAAATTAGCTGGTAAGCTAGTCTGTAAATCTTTGAGTGCTGTTTTTGGCTTTTATTTCCCTTTTCACATAATCAAGTTTAATACCATATTTTTATTTGTTTTAAATATACTCCTCACTCCTCCTTTTCTAGACCTCTTACACATTTAATTTTTACTTAAAAGTTAGCCTAATGTTCACATCTCAATACTGATAAGCTAATAGACTTCATTTTAATGGGGTCTGTAAATAAGAATTTTTAGTAGTCCACAATGTCATGAGATGGCAGCTTGAAGATTAAGGAAAATGTGAACTTGGTGGTATACTTCATTACAGCTTAATGTTTTGAATTACAAATAGGATAAGCTAACTATTGAATTGGAAGTTTGACTATGACTTCATTTGGCACTATATGTGAATATTATGTTCTCTAGTTCATTGTTTTACTTTTAGATGCTGTTAGGATGACAAGGTTATATATCAATTAGATAAGAATGTAGAAAGCCATAACGAATCAAATTCGTTCTCATTTTAACTCAATACTCATAGCTCTTTCTTTGGCTAATGCTTTAAATTGTGGATGCCTAATTTTTATCATTTTAGTAACCACTTATTAATGGTCATAACATTTAGAATACCCCTATAAATCATTGTTCTTATAGGTTTGTTCAATGTCCCTCACCTCAACATAGTAAGAATAGTGATCAAAATGCCCTCATTGGCTTAATGATGACAAAGAGTGCTAGAGTTCACATCTTGTCAGCTTCTGATATGTAGCTTCTTTGTCTCAGCATCTAGCACTTATTTCTAGGCACCTTTCACAGTTTTTTTAAGGCCAATATTTTTAAAAAAATGTATTGCAGATGTATTTCAAGTTATATGAGTAACCAGTGATTGAGAAATGTGAAAGTAAGTTATATATTGTATAACTTTGAAAAAATGATTTGTTCTAGAAGCAAATTTTTCCCATACATATATTTTCAGTACAACAATACTGCGGATGGAGTTTATAAAGTTTTCAATGGAAAAGACAGCATAAGTAAAGTTGCCATAATCGACACCTATAAAGGTAAAAGGTAGGTATTCGGGTAAAATGTGCATGTGTGTTACTAGGGTACTCTTAAACAGGAATGGTATTCATTTAACGTCTCATAAGACACAGACACCAAACTATAGAACAGACCTGGTTATAATTCAGCTCTGGAAACTCCTGTTCTGCTAGGTATTAACCCTTTAGTTGTGGCAACTGGTGCGTTCACACCAGTGCATAGCTGCTGACTATCAGCTCCACTTTAGGGTTTGGTTCACCTTTCTGCATAGGTTATGTTACATAAATCCCCAAAGGGACTATTTTTTCATCTCTGCTACATATCCAGCATTATAATACAATTATTCTTACAATTAGATACCATAAATGAAAAGATTAAAAAAAAAAAACTGATTGTCTAGTAGATGGAAACTTTTTTTTTTTAATTTTTAAATCGAGCAGATCAAATTCTATATTCCAGTGCCATGACCTAAATGTGTCTATAAACATGGAAACATGGAAGCTTAATGAATCCAGGCAAGTGCTTTCATGACCTTCCCCCTGCAAACAGTCTTTATCAATGCAAAAATGGAATGAATATTTCAAGTGCAGTTCTACAATGTACATACAAAATGTGAAAATGAAGACTATGCCACTTTTAAAGTGGTAAAATAAAAAATCAGCTTCCTAAGCCATTATTTCCTTATTTTTCCCTAGTTTTGGCCTATTCATCTAAAGAATTTATAATTTATCATAAATGTAAACTAGGAAGAACCCTAATATCAGGGGAACGAACAAGCTTTCTTCTCCATAAAGTTAACAATTGTGTTTTAGACCAGTTTTTTTTCTGAAAAAGAATGAAGTGATCAAAACCAAAAGACATAAAATGTTTTTATGAATCTAAAGTAACCCCTACCTCAAACTGAGTCTATCTAATAATTGCATTTAACAGCTAAAATATTATTAGTGGATTACTTTCTCTTCTAAAGAGTCCACAGTTACATATTTTTAAAGAAAAGTCAGTAGACGGAAAAAAACACTTCTAAATATTCATCTAAGAGGAAATCACAGCAATTTTTTATATTGAGACATAACGAACATTTCACTAATATTACAGGGATGTGGAGGGGAGTTGCAAAGAGCTCCTAATTAGAGTAAGAATTTCACATCACTTTAAGATTATAAGGTTGATTTAACTCATGGCAAGACTGAACATGATTAACCACTTATTTTGTTTAAAAAGTATGCAATGGCTTGTCTTGACATGTCACTGTTAGGAGTAGAAAAAAAGTTTTTCCATCACCAAAAAGGTGAGGATGCAGGGGAACTATTACTATTGTTTTTATCACTTTCAGATATATATAGCTTATTTAAACAACAAAGTATAAATTAATAAAATCTTTCCTACCTTAATGTTAGTCCATGTGAGAATTAAAGAGGGGAAGGGGCAGGAATATAAGTCAATCTTCTACATGTTTTAAATGTTTGCTGATCCAAACATCAACTTCTTTCTTTCCTCTTCCTCGCTTCTCTCTTCTGCCTGCCTTATACTGAGTTTACTTCAGTTACCCATTTAACACTTTCCATCTATTCATTCTGAACACTTATGCTACTGAGCGAGTAATTCATGTATCCCATTGGGAAAAAAAATTCTCCCCTAAGTAGAGATTTAAGTTTCTGATAAATGTTTTTAATTTTTTCCCTATTCCAAGACGTTTCTAATTAACACCTGGCAGTTTTTATTTTATGATCTGGCCACCTAATGGCATCAGGTACATTGCAATAAGATAAAAGGTTCAAACAAAACATGAACAGAATTAAACATTTCTTAAACTTAGTATTGTCACATTTAAATGCATCATATTAACAGAAGTATTGAATTATAATAGAAAAAGTAATGTAAGAAAGGTATTCTTTAAATGAGAATGTTTATTCATTGTCTTTTTCTATTCTTAAGGAATCTCTCCTATTGGGAAAGTTATTGCGACATGATTAATGGTACAGGTAAGAATATTTGTTTTGTGGTCATCACAGTGAATCCACCTCCCTTTCCCACAAATCCACCATTATACTGACAGTGTTCTGAAAGTTGAGGGTGTGTGTTTACTTGCCTTTATATCCCCACAACATAATTCAGAGTCCCTATTTGTATATTAGCTTAGTAAATGTGTGTTCAATGTAATGGGATTTGTGAAGGTTAATCATAAAAAATTAGCCCTTACTGCATGACTCAGAGAAATGTTTGCTTTGAAAAAACTTAACTGTCATCCTGGCAACAGAAGTAAATGGTAAAAAAACAACAAAAAACACTTTACTTTTCAAATCTTTTATAAATAGTATACAGATAAGTTAGAATTGAAAGAATAAAAAAAAGTTAATTACAAAAGAGAAAACATATCTAAGCAAGGCTTATAGCTGAGATAGAATAAAGTTGCAAGACAGAAACATCCATTTTTGGGTAAGGTGGTCAGAATAAGAGAGAAAACAAAAACAAAGTCAGATGTCTTCTTAACTATGAAAAATACATGTAAAAAATGAGCATTCCAAATTAGAATTGGGAAAAAGAGCTATAAACTTAGATTTAGGGTATGGTTAGATCAGGCTTATTCTCCTTCAGGATAAGCAAAGTACAGATATGCCTATTAGTTTAAGAATTAAGATTTTTAAAACGCAATGGGAGGCTGGTCATGGTGGCTCACGCCTATAATCCCAGCACTTTGAGAGACGAAGGTAGGTGGATTGCTTGTGCCCAGGAGGTTGGGACCAGCCTGGGCAACATGGCAAAAATCCCATCTTTACAAAAAAATACAAATATTAGCTGCGCATGGTGGTGCATGCCTATAGTTCCAGCTACTTCGGAAGCTGAGGCAGGAGGATCACTTGATTCCAGGAGGTGGAGGCTGCAATGAACTATAATTGTGCCTCTGCACTCTAACCTGGGCAACAGTATGAGACCCTGTCTCAAAAAAAAAAAAAAAAAAAGGAAAAAGTCGTGGGAATCAAATATCATGAATCAATATCAGAGGCAAGCTTTCAACTACTAGGAAACAAAAGCACGAAGTTCACAAAATTAGGGAATATCCCATAAAGACAGTTAAGTAAAAATGAAGCACAGAGAATGTTTTCTTTGCCAAAGGTATGATTATTGACTTCCTATGCATATTTATTTCTATCATTGCCTGGTAGGAAAAAAGAAACAGCAAAAACACTGTTGAATTTGCTTTGCAGGAGTTTTGTTTTGTTTTGTTTTGTTTTCTGAGATAGAATCTGGCTCTGTCACCAGGCTGGAGTGCAGTGGCGCGATCTCGGCTCACTGAAACCTCTACCTCCTAGGTTCAAGTGATTCTCCTGTCTCAGCCTCCCAAGTAGCTGGGACTACAAGCGCCTGCCACCACGCCCAACTAATTTTTGTTATTTTCAGTAGAGACAGGGTTTCACCATGTTGGCCAGGATGGTCTTGATCTCTTGACCTTGTGATCCATCCCCCTCGGCCTCCCAAAGTGCTGAGATTACAGGCTAGAGCCACCGTGACCAGCCAAGGTTTTGCAGGGTTTTAAGCCATAAGAGTGGGTAAAGAAGTTATTTTCTAAGTAAAGCATTTCTGGAAATAAATTTTCAAGTCCTCAATACTACCAATGCTAGTAGTTGTATAAGCAGAATACTTAGTCCTTAGATGCAGAGATAAATATACTGTGTTACTCCTAGTGAAGGATTCTTTATGGGTTTAAGGGGTGAAATCTTTAAAAAGAGGATTCATTGACAATAATATAAATACATGAGCATCAGGCATGATGTTAAAAATATCTAGGGTGAAAATAGACCTGAAACAAACTAGGAAAAGAGGGAATTTGGACAGAGCAGGGGATGATCCCTGTGAGAGAGATTCTTGTTTATGGCACTAGGGAAAAGAAAGTAATAAAACAGTAAGGTTCTAATGTGTTTTCATCATAATTTAGAAGTGCATCCTCTTTACCTTCTTCAGTAAGTTTGAAAAGACTTAAAATGGAAGTATTGGTATACATTTAGAATGTTTATTTTGGGCGGTGGGGGGAAGCTCTGCACATAATCTTCAATGATATTTTAGATAATGATCTTAAAAGTTTTTCAATGTATTTTTCTTTAATTATTAAGGAAATGGGAAAGCAGGTGTTGGCAATGCCCATATGGGGGCTTATATTTCACTTGTCACAAGAGTGTAAAGTAATGAAAATAAGGTCACAAGGTTGACACACTTGCCAGAGAAAGAACCTGCAATGCATAATTGAAGATGAGACTTACCATTTAAAATTTATTCAATGATGACTCATATTAGTGATATTCATGTGAGAAGTACATGGAAGAGTTAACTAATTATTTCTTCATATATCCAATGTTTGCCATGGATCATAGTTGTAGCAAAAAGTAAATTCAATAAATGACTTTTTTTATATACTTTCAAAGCATTTGAAGTTCTGTTTAGTGAGAGAACTTTAGTAAGTATTTTTAGAAGTATTCATCAGCCATAGGGCCAATGAAACACAAAATCACTACAAATAAGAAATGTGGACATAGCAGGAGTTCCAAATGAACTTCCCTGGAAGAAAAGTGCCACTCTGCTGGTGGGGTGGGGCATTTCAAAAAACAAACACAATGTTAGCCTTGACATTTCATTTTATGTTTAAGTTTCTTTTATTTTGTACCATTAAATATGTATAGTATGTAGATTTGTTGTTGACTATAGCAGCCCCTAGCCATATGTAACTGTTAAGGACTCAAAATACGGCTAGTATGATTTGAAATGTGCTGTAAATATAAAATGCACCGTGGATTTTCAGATTTTAAGAATTTAAAATATTTTATAATGGTTACATGTTAAAATATTTTGAATATTAATAAGTTAAATAAAATAGCATTCGGTTTGGTTTTGTTTGAGACAAAGTTGTCCACTTGTTGCCCAGGCTGGAGTGCAATGGCACAATCTTGGCTCACTGTAACCTCCGCCTCTTGGGTGCAAGCAATTATCCTGCCTCAGCCTCCCAAGTAGCTGGGATTACAAGTGCCCACTACCACACCCGGCTAATTTTGTGTATTTTTAGTAGAGATGGGGTTTTACCATGTTGGCCAGGCTGGTCTCGAACTCCTGACCTCAGGTGATCCACCCACCTTGGCCTTCCAAACTGCTGGGCTTACAGGCTTGAGTCACCGTGCCTGGCCGGTTATTTCTTTTTACCTTTTAAAAATGTTGCTGCTAGATAAATAACTTAGGTAGTTTGCATTATATTTCTATTGACTACACTGGAGGAGAGATTTCTAGGTTTTTTTCTAGAACACATATTACATCTAATCATTTGCCACTCGATTTTTAAACAGATGCAGCCTCGTTTCCACCTTTTGTTGAGAAGAGCCAGGTATTGCAGTTCTTTTCTTCCGACATTTGCAGGTAAGAGAAAAACTGAAGTATGTCTGAGTCAGACCCCAGGTGACAAAATGCAGACCAAGAAACTTTATTATTTTTCTCAAATAATGATTAAACACAGCATAGAAAATTCATAATGTTTATTAACTCTGCAAAATATTCTTCTATATCCTCCAATTTTTAATAGCGTAAATCATTTTTTTGCTATTTCTAAGCAAGAACCATTTTGCCTTTTTGAAACTAAACTAGTAGTCTAATAACAATGAAGTCCAGAAGAGTAAGTCCAGTCTTTCTAAAGACATACAGAGAAGATGATGCAGATGTAACAGAACTGTGTTCATGTGCTCTGCTCAAATTTGTGGGGCCCAGTAGATAACCCACGAACACTGGAGCCTTTACCACTACCCTCGAGCCCAAGCTCTGTCCCTAAAGACTGTATGATGGTGGGTAAGCATTTAACATCTCGGATTTTTTTTCTTATCTGTAAAATTTAAGACAGCAGTATTTCTTCATATAGGTGTATCTGGGGATTAGAAAAAAAATGTGTATTGAACCCTATGGTTCTATACAAGTAGACACTTGGTAAATGATGGAAATGTACCAGGTATATATCCAGCATGTATATGCACACACTCCAGTGAGTGGTCTTTCTCTCCAGGACTAATTAAGCTGTGAAAGAAACTTTATTTCATTTAAACTGATCACAAATAAAGTATTTGAAAGAAGTGCTATAAATATTTACTAACTTTGGTATAAATAAACATGGTACTTCACAAACAAGAATAGTTCATACTTGGGTATTGAGTTCTAGTATGTGTTAAAATTTCCCAATCACTTTTTTTCCTAAGAATGAAACAAGAATTTAAGAGAGTGTATAATGTTTGTAAGGTAAAGCAAGAATAAGAAAAAATGAATCTCCAGAATGTAAGTTCAGGTTCCTGGAATGCAGCTCTTTTTTCTCTGTATTTAGGTCAATCTATGCTGTATTTGAATCCGACGTTAATCTGAAAGGAATTCCTGTGTATAGATTTGTTCTTCCATCCAAGGCCTTTGCCTCTCCAGTTCAAAACCCAGACAACCATTGTTTCTGCACAGAAAAAATTATCTCAAAAAATTGTACATCATATGGTGTGCTAGACATCAGCAAATGCAAAGAAGGTGAGTAAATATCCTCAGCAGCACAGTCCATATCATAATTTGTGATATTCTTTAAAATGAGACCTTTACCACAATCCCTTTGCAAGCAAAATTTAAAATTAAAGTAAGAAAGTAATTAGGGCAGAATGGTGGCAGAAAATTTTAGTGCTGATTTTGTATTTTGGGAAGGTCCCAAATATGTGTTTCAGTGTTACAAAATTTAGTTAAAACCACACTAGCATTTCTTTGTGGCTGCTTTTAGATTTAGGGTGAAATGAAAATAATTCCGAGAACACTTTGCGCATCCTGTTATCCATCTGTCATTGTTCTAACTTTTTTCACTAGAAAATGGTACAGGTAAATGTATTTTCAGTATGTATCTAAAGCTAGAGTTAAACATAAAATTTGGAGGCTAGCTTATACTGTACATATTTATCATACTAACATGGGTGTGGAGGAAGAAAAAAAAAACTACTGTTAAATAAATTCTTAGTCCCTAGACATATTACTGCCTGAAAGCTGAACATATATAGTTGAAACTTTGGGTTCATCAACAAAACTTTATATATTGAAAATTAATACTGAAGGGGTTTACAGTAGAAATCAACTGATATAATTCTTCCCCACCCATGTTAAAAACCAAATATGTATTTTTTTTTAATTTAAGAAGTTTTAGTTTTGTGGAAATATTTTTTGAGTTATATATGAAATGAAGGAAGCTATTAATTCCAATTGACTCTTAAAACTTGTCTTCAGGGAAACCTGTGTACATTTCACTTCCTCATTTTCTATATGCAAGTCCTGACGTTTCAGAAACTATTGATGGATTAAACCCAAATGAAGAAGAACATAGGACATACTTGGATATTGAACCTGTAAGAAAACACATTATTGATCTGATTTGGTTGCTATTTTAAACAATACAATTGAAATAAAAATAATCTTGGAGATAACACTAATCATAGTTATTGAATCACATTCTTTTAAGTTACTGAAACTTACGTCGATTTTTTCCTGTTGTTTATGAAGTGATTCTAATTGGCTTAAAATATTTATATAAAATTATGCTTATGAGGAGTTATTGTATATTATGTAAAATTCAAAGAGTGAGTGTATGTGAATTTGACTATACTTATTGTTAAAATTTATAAAATTGTTACAGCACAACAGTTTTAATCTTTATTTTTGTATTTTCCTTTTCAAAAAGTAAATGAAATTCTAGAATTTTACTAGTCATGTTTTAGTTTAAACAATGATACAAGTAGTATTATAACTAATGATACATGGATTCTAACAGCATATATATTTGACCAGGAATTATCTGAGATCTTATATTTTCTTGTTGATTTCTTTAAACCATTTCAAGTAAATCACAAATCTAACTAAAACCTTGACATTCGATTGGGCAAATAAATTGTGTATCTATATGGATGCGTGTGTATATAAATATAACTATATAGAGAGTTTTAAAAGTTTCAAGTAGTCCTGTTTAACCTTAAGTTACTACCTTCTCTTCTGCTGTAAGAAAAATAAGTTTTGAATAGTATAAAATAATGTTTTTAAAAGTTGGTAATTATTTAGTTGTTCTCTTTTTAGATAACTGGATTCACTTTACAATTTGCAAAACGGCTGCAGGTCAACCTATTGGTCAAGCCATCAAACAAAATTCAGTGAGTCTCTTGAAAATGGTTATTTTGATAAAATCTGTAGTATCTTCTTGTAAGAACATGAGTAAATCTATGTAAGTGGAAAGAACATCCAATATCAGTTATCTTTTGCTTAACGTCACCAAACAATCATTATTAAATGCTTATGACAAATTTCACCTATAGCTTAGTACCATATCTTGTGTTTATTGAAATGGTACTTGCACAGATTTTGGAATAGTTTTATTTGAGCGTTTGATAGCATCTCTCATTTTATTAGCTGCCCAAAAATTTCTATGACAATAATTGTTGGAATTCATATTTTAGTTCCCCGAGAATTTATTGAAAGGGAAAATCCACACTTGGGAAAAAAATCAATGTGATTAGAAGACACATAAGAGCAAAGGAAGTAAAAAACAACTATATTAAAATGTGCATGAGTCATTACAGGAACAAGACCAAATTCGCAACAGCAACTAATTTCTGAACATTTATTTTAAAGTTTGTTATGTATAAATATTAGTTTATATGTTCATAATTATTTTCAATGTATATTACAGAGTATTAAAGCGTCTGAAGAGGAACTATATTGTGCCTATTCTTTGGCTTAATGAGGTTTGTATTTTCAGCTGTTAGTTATTAAAACAATAAACAAGCTCTTGATGTTTCAAAAGAATGTATAGTATTTAAAGCTATATGTATTTCCATTTCCCATATGGACGAGTAGACATTTATTAAACCTATTTGAGATAACCTAATTGCACAAAAATATCAAGTTTGCGTTAGTTTTCAGGTTTTAGAAAACATTTCCTATAAGATTTTCTTCAAAAATTCATCTATTAAACATGTTTTCTTGTTGTAACATTTGTCTTAAGATAGTCTATCCTATTGCCTGACAAGGGATTTTTAGTATAAATCCATGCATTGATTAGCTATAAAGTAGGAAAAGCATTGAATAAGTCTTTGGAGCAAGTGGAACTGGTGACCCTTTGTCACGGGGAAACACCCATTGGGAAAGCATTCTGAGATCATTCTGAAGAGGGCTACACCCTATCTGGCACTTAATTGCCTTTCTTGACTTGCAAAATTCCATTGACTTGTCTTGTAGACACTGATGACTAACACCAATAGAGGTGTTAGAAAAAAGGGTGATAGGCAATTGAAGGGTTTGAATATTTTGTTTTACTAATATACCCAAATAATGTTGATTATTAACTTGATTACAGACTGGGACCATTGGTGATGAGAAGGCAAAGATGTTCAGAAGTCAAGTAACTGGAAAAATAAACCTCCTTGGCCTGATAGAAATGATCTTACTCAGTGTTGGTGTGGTGATGTTTGTTGCTTTTATGATTTCGTATTGTGCATGCAGATCAAAAACAATAAAATAAGTAAGTACATACCAAAAAATATTGCTTCAATAATATTAGCTTATATATTGTTTTCATTTTATCAAAGAGAAGTTATATATTAGGCCATATATATTTCTAGACATGTCTAGCCAATTATCATTTTTAAATATAAGTAAATAAACTTATAAATATTATCAAGCAGATCACTAAAGTATACCTTTAATTCTGGGAGAAATGAGATAAAAGATGTATTTGTGACCATTGTAACATTAGCACAAATATAGCACTTGTGCAAAACTTGTCCAAAATTGACTGGTTCATTTCTCAATTATATAGCTAGTTATATATTAAATTATCTGATATTTAAAAATAATTGACTAGGAAATGGTTTCATAAGAACAGGATTGCTGCATGTAGACATGCTGGCCATGCATTTTCCAAATCTAGAAAAGTCCTGAACGAAAATTTGAATATAATAGTATCAGGAAATAGGGGAAAATAGTCTTTGACATAGTAAAACCAAGTACTCAGAGTTTAGAGGAAAAAAGAGATGTGTACAAGAGTTCTGGCAGAATTGTAGAGAGACTTTAGGCCTCTGTGCTTCAGATATTATTGTCCATGCACTCTTACACATAAAATGGAAAACCTTTTTTTATTTATCGCAGGTAGCATTTGTGTCGCCTGTGGGGGAGAATTTTTTACTTTCTCTCTATTTTTCTTCACCTCAAGGCAATGTAAATAAAAGCAGTATATGTGCTATAATAACTTATTTAGTTGTTTACTATGTGCCAGTACATGCTAAAGATTCTATATCTCATCTAATCCCTAATACAATTTCATGATTTTCCAATAGCCTGGATTCATCAGCATCCATTCTATCTTCTAGAGGTTTTCCATGAAATTATAAATTTGAATTGTCTATTACCAAAGCATAAATCAGTTAAAGTGGAATCTGGGGACCCGTAATTTCCTTTTGTGAGATTGAGAGCTTGTGTTTGAGAAGGCAACCTAATATTTGGTTCTAATCACTTCTACTACTATTTAGTCACCAAAAAGACAATAATTCTGCCTCCAAACTATTTGGACAGAATGTCTTCAAAATACTAGCCTAAAATATTCACATTATAAAACATTAAATATTACCTTCAATACCTGTCATTAGCCTACTGACAAATTATGACTAAACAAAGGTATTTGTATGACTATGTAATAGAAGAGATCATCCACTGAAAAGTAAAACAAAATAACAAAAAAACTTGTCCTAATGGGAAAGCATACTTAATAAAAGGAAATGCAGAAGTCATAAACATGTTTTGTAAGTATTCAGAATTAAAATTATGTGATACATTTTTATGATTGCTTAATGATTCTTGGATGTCAGATTCCTTGGGTCTATTTATAGCTAAATTATAATGAAAAATTCAAGGCTTGCTGGAGCAACTTTGTCAATGAATATATTAGTTTTGCTTATATATTTGATTTTTATAAGGAAAAATTACTGCCTTTTTTTTACAAGCAGAGAATAAACTGTTGATTACTTGATTTACTAGAGTTAGAAGAATCACAAAAGATGTAGATTTTCTTAAGCAAAGTTCAGCTTTTAATATCATAAGAATTATATCTTTGGGCAGATTTGTGAACAATAGGAACAAGTAAGAAGATGGGTATGCAAGAAGGAGCAAAGTGTAAGATGGTGGAGCTAATGTGTGGTTTCACTCAGGGGGTAACAAGGAAAATAACCCAATGGTCCTTTTGAAAGTAGTACATACACCTTTACATGGAAGTTGGTCTGAAGGGTGTGGAAATGCTGGTCCAAGGCAGATGTACTCTAGCTACCATTCCTTGTCTGGTGTGTGCTGGTCTTGAGGGTTGAGAAGCACCCTTTTTACGTGCCTTTCTGGAATAGGAATGTGTTTTGCCTTATTGGTGAAGCCTATTAGATAACTTCTCTCTGCAGCTAGAGAAATTGAACTGATTAATAAACAGTATGATATCTCAGATATAAAATTTAAGTATTATTCATTGTAATATTCCACTGCTTTCTGATTAGTAATATTTCCTCCACTTTACAGGCAGCAAATGATTCTTCACATTTATGCACTAGCTACGTCATGACCCTGGGTAATACTGACCTACAGGATGAAAATTGGATATGCTTTACTTTTACAAAGCACATCTTATCTTTTAGTTGAAGAAATGGTGGCACTATTTCTTTTTTTGTATTAAGCAACTGCACATTTCAAAAGGATTATTGAGATGTTATGAAAATCTCTACCTTGCACAAAAATCTCCAGCAGCTTTTAAAATTCATCATTTCCACAACTGAATTGATTTCCATTTCTACAGACCTGGCTCAAGCACAAACCAGTTTCTTTGTGTTGTTCTGATTCAACAATTGGTTTCTGGGTGGCCAATTCAGAAGAGTGGACATTCTCAACAAATCCTAGGCCGTGCATTCCTGTCATCCTCTTCCAGGGGAAAACACCATCATCCTTCAATTGCAACAGTCTCCAGGACCATCAGCATATTGCATTTCATGCACACCAAATATTTTTAAAGACATTTATAAATAATTCGCTTATGACTCACATTTCTCTATGAATTCCTTCATACAGCAAGTATAACTCTTTTCTTTAAGGGCTTATGTATTTTGTCACTGATCATGCAAATGGACAACATTTTAGCACACTTTATTCATATTTTAAGGACTTTTATTCTCTGTTCTGCAACTCTTCTGGAAATAGAGTAAATTTTGCTGTTTTTTGTACTCAGTTGCAACTCATGCTTGGCATCTTCAGAATGCTTTTCTGGCATTAAGAGATGTAAATGATAAAGGAATTATTGTATGAAATATTACAAAGAGTAGAATATGCATTGTTATTCATTGTAATATTTTTTGCATCATAATCGCCTCATAAAGACTGGTTTCAACCATTAAAAAATGTTCTTCCTTAAATTCCTGTGCGTTTTCTAGTTCCTGTTGTATCATAAAATGTTTATCCTCATTTTCTGTCCGAAGTATATTTTATCTGAATCAACATTTCTTTATAAATCCATAGTTCTTGCTGAAATATGCTTTCTAAATTTTGACCACTCTAGGCTAATTTTTTAAAAGTTAATTGAAGAACAAAAAAGACATTTGGTTTCATCCTTTACAGCAGTAGGACAATTGTAAAGGTTTTTGCTTTTTCATAAGGAGACACATTAATAGGTAACCCTGCTTTCTTTAGCAGGGATTCACTTATTTCTGAGAGTGTTAGTCCTCCTAAAAAGAAAGGGAAGACAAACCAAATTCTATCTTGTGTTTTACCCACAGAAGGATACAGGACAAAGGAGTAGTAACTGGCCTATTTGGATACTAAAATTGAAAATAACTTAGCCTCCTTATGAGAGCTGCCAGGGTAAATGCTGAGCATTCCTTTGGAAAAGCCACAAACCAAGATTCTACCTGTTTGGAAAGATCTTTTGAATCTCTGAAGGCGCTTAAAGCATAGTTAGTGCCTCTCCTTTTAACTGGGAGGATAAAAGTATCTGTCCAAGATATTAATATGTAAGATAACATTGTAGACATGTTATTCTGATAATACAAGTTTTATTTGCATTAGAATATTAGGATATTTGTGGACATGTCCACCTAATATAAAGTTTTTTTTTTAATCATCAAGACATGTAGGGCTGAGTTATGTAATATAGAAACTTCTAAAGATAATTGGATGAGAATATACATATTGACCTGTATATTATGACTAATCATTACTCAGATCTTAATACAGGGATGATCTAATAGCATTTAGATATCAGAAAAGGTTTTGACCTATATGTCTTTAATATTGTTTGAATACATGTATAATCTTTATCATTCCTCATTGTTTCATTTCTCAAATTCTGTAAAACGAATACAAGAGGGAAGAATTCATACACAAAGACAACGAGATTAAAAATATGCAGTAGGAAAAACAAAGAAGGGGAGGTTTTTTTACATGAAATCTGGGGTTTGGAAATGTGTGTGTGCACACGCATGTGCACTGTGGTGGGAGTGGGGCAATTTGGGGAATATGTTACATGTGTGACTTTGTTTTGCCCTGGTGAAGTGAATGTTGTTCAGAAAGGGTAAATGTTTGGACACTTGCAATTGCTCATGGATGACTTTATATGTTTTAGTCTTAGAAAAATTGTACCCTTTGGTAGAAGCACATTTTCTTTCCAAAGTTGGTTATTAACCACAGAATTATAGCAGTTACTCATAACAGGTTTGAAAATCAATAGCATCTGCAAATGGATTAACAGATTAGAGAATCAACAGCATCGGAAAATAGGTTAATGCATATTGCTTCTAACAAGTGCATGAAGAAATAGAAGAAGCTATGTAGCTTTCGGTCCTGACAGAAAGGGGTGAAGGTGGGTATCATTTCAAGAAAAAAATATAGCTATGCACACAATGGTTATCTCTGAAAATATTTGTGTTAAGATGTATACATGGCCAGGCATGGTGGCTCACGCCTGTAATCCCAGCACTTTGGGAGGCTGAGGCAGGTGGATCATGAGGTCAGGAGATCAAGACCATCCCGGCCAACATGGTGAAACCTCGTCTGTACTAAAAATACAAAAATTAGCGGGGTGTGGTGGCCCATGCTTGTAGTCCCCGCTGCTCAGGAGACTGAGACAGGAGAACGCTTGAGCCTGGGAAGCCGAGGTTGCAGTGAACCAAGATCACACCACTGCACTCCAGCCTGGTGACAGAGCGAGATTCCATCTCAAAAAAAAAAAAAAGTAAACACGTACAAATCTCTTAACCTGTTATCAATGTCTGAGCTACATAATTATCTTTCTAGTTGGAGTTTGTTTTAGGTGTGTACCAACCGACATTTCAGTTTTTCTGTTTGAGGTGTGTACCAACTGACATTTCAGTTTTTCTGTTTGAAGTCCAATGTATTAGTGACTCTTTGGCTGCTCTCTTCACCTGCCTCTTGTGGCCTGTCTACAATTCTAAATGGATTTTGAACTCAATGTTGTCCCTTCTGGTTTCCTGCATATACCAACAGCATTACCTATGACTGATTTTTCCTGAGCTATTTTCACTGAGCTGAGCTAATGAACTAAAACTGAGTTATGTTTTATATTTGTATCAAATACATAAAAGGAACACTCTGCTTTTTCCTTTTGTGGTTCAAAGGTAAGCTGCATTTTAAAATATTTCTGAAAATAAATACTTTTGTTATTAGAAAAAGGATCTTGCTTTATATTTTTATTTTTGAATGTAGTTGACTTCCATATTGTTTGATATTGTTACTATAGTTTTATATGAGCTATTATCCTTTCATGACTTTTTTACATATCACTCCTGTTTCCTTTTTCCAACTGTTTCCAGATGCTAGTAGTATAATCTACACATTGCAAAACTTTTCATTCTACATACTCATGAATGGAGCTGTGACATAGCTAGGATTAATATAAATATTTTAAAATTTTGCTTTAATTACATGAATCTTAGACGAACAGCCTCAACATCACCTGGGAATCTGTGAAAAATGCAGAATCTCTGGTCCTACCTGAGAACCACTGAATCAGAATCCACAGTTTAACAGGAATCTTTAAGAGATTCACAGATACACGAACTTTTGGAAAAGCCCTGATTTAAGTCACTGAAGTTTGACTAGCTGTAAGAGTTGTATTTGACCTGTTGCTGGTGTTAGTTTGATGTATTAACAGAAGGACATAAGCATACTGAGATGAGGGGGAGGCTCATCAGACCTGAAAATGTTGCTATAAATATCCCACTAAGTTTTACAATTTGCCCTGTTGAGCTTGTAAATGACATTTTCAAACAGTAATAAAGCTAATCTATATGGCAGAGTAGAGGGTGAAGTGGTATTAAACTTTATACTCCTTTGATTTGCTGGAATGTGTTACTTGATCTACTTGACAGTATTAATGACAAATATATTTGCTACATGTAAAGTAAGGGATAGGTTAGGAGCAGATAAGGGATACTAAAATTGGAGACAGGTCCTAGACTTTATTTGAGATAAAAAATTATTCATCTGAATAAAGAGATTCTTCAGGATTGAGTAGCTTTCTGTTTTATAAGTGTATACTGAATAATAGCACTGGAGTTTTACTACGAGCACAAAACTGAGTTAGATTGCTAGATGGCCTGCTTGCCGCATGTCTGCAGTGGAGTAGGGAGCAGAAGCAAGGCAGGAGATAAAGAAGAAAATTCAAAGAAGAGTATTTACAGTGGAGAAAGTCTATACTGTTATATAGAAGTGAATGAGGAAGGCTGGGCACCGTGTCTCATGCATGTAATCCCAGCATGCTGGGAGGCTGAGGTGGGAGTATGGCTTGAGGACAGGAGTTTGTGACCAGCCTGGGCAACATAGCAAGACCCTGTCTCTAAAAAAAAAAAAAAATTAAATTAGCTGCATGTGATGGTATATATCTGTAGTCACAGCTATTTGGGAGGCTGAGGCAGGAGGATCCCTTGAGCCCAGGAGTTTCAGGTTGCTGTGAGCTACGATCACACTGCTGCATTCCAGCCTGGGCAACAGAGTGAAACCCTATCTCTAAAACAAAGAGTGAATGAGGCCAGTAGAAGAGAGCTGAGCTTGGGACTGACTACCTAGGCTTAAAGTGCCACTTTGGCAGGTGTTCCTCTGCCCTAATCCTGTCTTCATTCTACACAGTTGAGGACTAGGACATTTGTGGAAAGAGGAACCTACATAACAGAGAAGGCTCTGAAATAAGTGGTGGGTAATTTCACATACTCTGCCACATTAACATTAAATAATTCAGTTATTGGAGACTTCTATGGAATCATCTTAGAATGGCAATACACATGAAAAGGGTTTATATATCTTTGGATATAGACTAGGGAACAGAACCAATTTGAAATATCAATGTAGGTTAATGTTACAATGTCCTCATAGATATCTGAAAAATTATTTTTAAATGCTGTGATGAGTTTGTGAAACTATATCCATACTGGTTAATTTAGGAATGTTTCTTTCTCCACTTTCATTGCCTTTCCATCTTAGCCCTGCAGCCAGCATATTCACAGTTTGTTTAGTAGAAGTACAAGTCAGCCACAGGCATCAGCAGAGTAATCAAATGGACAGTAGGGTTACTTGGACTCTGAAATTTCTCTGGCAGATAATATATTGCTAGAAAGTATTGCTTTGCTATTTCTGTTTTCCATATTATTTAAGGACATTTGGCTTTGCTAATAAAGGAAACAAATGACAAGCATAGATGAAACTAAGTTTAAGGAAGTAGAGTAACATGTCAGATATCAAGGAAAGCATTTATTGAACAGAGGAAGAGATGGAATTATCAAATATACATAAGCCACTAAATGTGCATAACATACTACATTTATATGGGTCGAAGAGGTATCCCACTTGTCCCCCTGCTGGCAACATGAAGAAAACAAATGCCGACACATCTGTTCAGCAGGCCTCTGGTTCTCTACAGCTGTGACCAGGTATACTTTCCCTTGTGTCTCTCCAATATAGCAAGAATTAATTTTGTCACCAGACCCCTTCTGTATTTTGGACTCCCATGCTTATACTCCAAATCTGGTTTTAGTATCCTCGCCATTAAAAGAGAAAGTTGATGAAACAGAGAGACAGAATATATTAATATTACGTACTTCAGGATTCATATATAGTGGGACTTCCACCCTCCTTGGTACTCTGTCCTAAACTTGTAAATCTGTTTTCTCTTTGCCCTAGCTTCTCACTGTGTATTTGAAGTTGATTAATAAATTGTGATATTTAATAATCTTGAGTTGTTCTACTATTTTTTTGTTCCTTTAGGACAGAGCTCTCGGATAGTGCCTGGTAGTGTACTTAGAGGGAGGCTAACATTCCCTCTAAGTAATTTACCATGCAACAGCTATGTTTTACATGTTGGGTTTAAATTTAAAAAGTTTGCTTATAATTCAGCATTCAAAATATG